AATCGTGTCTGTATGTGTCCCATGGCTTTCCTAGGCAAGATACCGGTTTGGCCGCAGGCCTTATCGCAACTAGCAATCCATTGCATTTTAGCTAGTAATATTGCATTGTTACATAGCTTGCATTGTCATGCATCTTTCGGGCTTACTATGCATTGTAGTGCATTCTTCCTTAACTTTGCATTGTCATGCATTTCCCTACTGTATCATTTAGTATGTAGGTTTCATTATAGTGCATTGTCATGCATTCATTGTATTGCATTGTAGTTGCATGCATTCACTGCATCACCTCCATCTACGACTTGCGCCTTTCCATGTTGAGCTTGGTCTGGTATGTGCCCATACTTTTCGCGTTGAAGCACAGTTATGATATTATGTGTACGCACCTAGTGTTGAGGGTGACGGCACCATTTCTGTGATTAAATGTGGTTTGTTTGTGTCCATGCCTTTCCTAGGCAAGATATGTTTTGGTTACGCGCCATATCCATTTCATTCATTACATTGTAGTGTAGTGTTTTGCATCCAGCATTTAGGATCACGATCTCTCATGGGCAGAGCATTCCCCACTTATATCATCCCACCCAATTACCTGTATCTTGTGTTCCGTCTACACACTCATAGTTCTGCATGTGTACGCGTCTATTCCACTGCTGGTATTGTGGTTTGAGGGTGTCGGCACTTTTTCAATGGTAGACGGACTTTGCATCTCCATCATCTTTATGATATTTGTGTGGTTTTGAACTGCTTATGGTTTGATCATGTTTCAATTGCATTGCATATCATTTGCATTGTTTATATATAGTTTTGTATATATTGCATTATCATTTTGCATCCATTCCGCATTGTTATGCGTTGTCACACATAGGTTGCATTGTCATGCACTCCTTCACTTGCATTGTTACGCAGCTTAGATTGCATTGTTATGCATGTTGCTAACGATATCGTACCTGTTAAGTTTTCTTTCTCTCTCAGGCACGATATTGTATGTACGCTTCATTTGAAGCTGGTGCAACCAAACGAGCCGCACAGGTATTGTATTCTCCGTGTGAGACGTATCGAGAATTGAATAATTCTCTTACATCCTTTCTGCATTGTAATGTAGCTTGGTTCTTGCTTAAAACTGTTGCATGTTATGCTTCGTTACAGCTTTTTTGCATGATCATGAGTTATGTTCGGCTTCTTGCATTGTCAGTTGCATTTTGCCCCCGCCTTCGGGCGCATATCATTATTGTGTTGCATGTTTCTCTAAGTCTTCGGCCTTGTCAAAAATGGGTCGTCTCTGGGCTTTGACATTCACTCCCGTCATTGTTATGAATTTCGAGTTCTGTCAAAGAGGGACAACTGTAGACACCCCATTATTGACCGTCCTCAAGACTTAGACGTCACCGTTTGAACACTCGGTGATCATCCATGTTCATGTTCGTCTTGAGTTCTCGGAGGTCTCGGCCACGCGCCTTGCCTCAAGAACTCTCGACTTGCCTGTTTTGTGTTTGGTTTTTCACCAAACACTTGTGTTTTGATTTTGAGGAGTAGGGAATGGCTTGTTGGCCATCCCCACATCTCACCGGCCATGGCTTGAGGCCACCGGCTATTGTTTTGTTGCCATCGGCCAAATGTTTGGTCGGTCGGCACTCTGTTTGGTCGGTCGACCATTTATTTGGTCAATTTGGAATTTTTGGCTTGCCGGCCACTGTGCATCTGCTTTTGGCAGATATTTTGTGCCAGCTGTGCTAGCTGGCACCTACTTTGCACCCCCTCCATACACGTGTATGGAGGGATTTCACTCTTGCTTAGCTTGTTTTGTAAGCTTTGCAAGAGTGATCCTCTATAAAGGGAGGCCTTCTCCTCCCTCCTTAAGGGTTACAAAAAAGAGTTCCAGAGGTCTGAATTAGGGTTAGGTCTTGTGTATCTATTTATCTCTATATCCCCCTCTCTTTTTTTCTTTGTGTGTGTATTAAGGTGTTTTGTTCATAGTTTTGCACACAAACACCTAGAGTTACATTTTCCTTTAGCTACTGAGGTACTAAGGAGTGATTTTCAGAATTCTTGAGTTGATCTAAGCTTGGAGAAGGGGCTGGAGTGGTCCTTGTGAAGAAGGTCTTCAAGGGTAAGAACTTTACCCTTTTATTTCCCATTTTTGCATAGGCTTTTAGCCATCCTTACATCTATTTTTGAGCTTAACTTATAACATATAAAAGTTCTTATTTTAAGTGCTTAAAATAGTTATTTAAGGTTGTTTTGGTGTTTGGGGTTGTTTGACCTTTCTTAGGCCTTGTTTGCCTCAGAAAAGGAGAGAACAAAGGAGATTCCATGCTATGATGTCTACAGCTACAGGTGATAGGCCAGCTGGAAGGCAGGATCTAGTATGGACTAGAGATGGATTGGTTCCTACTGCTGGAGCAGTAGGGAAGGAAATGAAGGGTTCAATTTCTAGAGCCCATCCAGTTCAGCCAATTTAGCTTTTGAAAAGGAAAATGAATCCCAAAAAGGCAGATGATAGACCTGTTGTGAAACTCTCTGAAAAGGATTTGCTGAGGCAGAAGCTGAAAGAATTAGAGAAAGATCTAGTGTTTGATGAAGATGACAGTATTGAAAAAGATGTAGCAATGAAGGATGATTAGGATTAAGAAATGGTCACTGATAACATGAATATTAATAAGGAGGTTAAGGAAGATGAAGTCAAGACAAATAGCTCTGATGGTGACTTTGGAGAAAAATTAGCTGCTATTCATTTTGGTTCTTTACCTCCATCCAAAGAGTGTAGCATGATTATGGCCATCCCTCAGAGATTTCAGGCTAGGCCAAGCCAGCTAGATGAATTGGCAGGAGATGTTGAAGATCTGACTGAACCAACAGTTCAGGTAGCAGTGGTTGAGACACAAACCAAGCCACTAAAGTCAATTGAGGTGGTTAGGTCTATCGATGGAGAGAAAGTTGTGCTGAAAAAACCAGAGGTTAAGCTCATCAGGCATCTAAGGCCTTTATATGTCAGAGCTTATTTAGAGGAGGTTCCAGTAGAAAGGGTTTTGATTGATAATGGAGCCATTGTCAATATTCTTCCTTCTAGGACACCGAAAGCTATTTGGAAATTTGTTGATGACTTGCTCCCTACTGATGTGAACATAAGTAATTTTGCTAGTGGATCATCTGAGGCCAGAGGAGTGGTGGCTTTACAACTTCAGGTTGGTTTCAGGTCAATGGGAACAACTTTCTTTGTAATAGACTGCACTTCGAACTACAATGTGCTACTAGGTAGAGATTGGATACACTTTAATGGTTGTGTATCCTCTTCTTTGCACCAGGCATTGATTTTCTTAACTAGTTGTGGTAAAGGAGGGATGGAAGTTTACTGGGCAGATGCAAATCCCTTTGTTGCAGATGTTAATAACATAGAAGTTGTGTTATATGATGAGGATTTGGGTCCAGTTGTGATTGATGAAGAAGAGGTTAAGTCTCAGAGAGAGAGTTTGACAAGTGAAGATCAAGGCCTTCATTGAAGAAGGTTTTAAGCAAATAGGCCAGGAATTGGCCAAGCCAAGCCTAATGCAGAAACAGAAAAAGCTTGTGATAGAAGAGGTTGCTGAGGATGAAGAGTAATGCAAGTACAAGTGATAGAAGAAGACAAGCTGGATGAGGCAGCTAATGTAATTAGATCTACTTTTTCTAGGCTTTTTTATTTCTTCTTAGAAAGTAAGTTTGGTGCTAACTGTATGCCCAATTGTTTTTGGGCAGATTGTGTTATTGACAGTAGCCCTCTGAGTTATAAAGAGGTGCAACTGAAGTATCTAAAGGCTGCTCCTGCCAAACTTGATGACCTCAAGGCAGATGTGCAAGACCCTTTAGATGAATATAACTTAGGGAGTAAGGCCTGTAAAAGGCCCATCTATGTAAATGCTAATCTATCCAATGAACGTAAAAGCAAGCTAGTTGGTTTGCTTTCTGAGTATGTGGATTGCTTTGCATGGACTTATGAAGAAATGCCTAGATTAGACAGAACATTGCTAGAGCATAGACTCCCAATTAAAGGAAATTTCCTTCCTCATAAACAACCTCCAAGAAGGATGACCAATGAAGTCACCTTATTGGTTAAGGAGGAAATTGAAAGATTACTCAAAGCAGGCTTTATTAGAACAGCCAGGTATGTTGAGTGGCTGTCTAATATTGTCCCTATAATGAAGAAAAATGGCAAGTTAAGAGTATGCATAGACTTTAGAAATCTAAATCTAGCAACTCCTAAGGATGAATATCCTATGCTAGTGGCTAACTTATTAGTGGACTCAATAGCCAAAAGCAGGATTTTGTCCTTTATGGATGATTATGTTGGGTATCATTAGATTTTTATTAACCCAGAAGATACACATAAGACAACCTTCAGGTGTCCTGGTGCTTTGGGGACATTTGAATGGGTAGTCATGCCTTTTGGATTAAAGAATGCAGGGGCAACATACCAAAGGGCAATGAATTTTATTTTCCATGATTTGATTGGCAAATACTTAAAAGTATACATAGATGATGTAGCCATCAAGTCTGACAATTTTGATGAGCATTTGGAGCATTTGCAGCAGACATTTCAAAGAATGTGAACTTACAATCTCAAGATGAACCCTTTAAAATGTGCATTTGGGGTATCTGTTAGAAATTTTCTAGGCTTCCTAGCACACCATAAAGGGATAGAAGTGGATGCCAACAAAGCCAAAGCAATTTTGGAGGCAAAACCCCCAGCCAACAAGAAAGAGTTGTAAAATTTTCTTAGAAAAGTAAATTTTTTGAGAAGGTTCATAGCCAATTTAGCTAAGAAAACTTTACCATTTTCTCCTTTGGTAAAAATTAAGTCAGATTATGAGTTTAAGTGGGAGACATGCCATCAAGAAGCTTTTGATCTACTCAAAAAATATTTGGCAAACCCTCCAGTGCTTATGCCCCCAATGGCAAGAAAGCCTTTGAAGTTGTATATCTCAGCTTCTGACCTGTCGATTGGTTGTTTGTTGGCTTAAGAAAATACTATGGGTCATGAGCAAGCCATTTACTACTTAAGTAGAAGGCTAAATGATGCTGAGACTAGGTATAACTCTGTCGAAAAGATGTGCTTGGCACTTTATTTTGCAGCCATTAAACTGAGGCATTACATGTTGCCTGCAAAGGTGTATGTAGTGGCACAAACAGATGTGATTAAATATATGTTGTCCAAGCCTATCTTGAGAGGAAGACAAGGCAAATGGATACTAGCTTTAATCCAATATTGTTTCAAATATGTACCACAAAAAGCGGTTAAAGGGCAAGCCTTGGCTGATTTTCTAACAGAACATCCTTGTTCCTCTGTCGATTTAGACCTGTATGAGGTCAATGTGGTGGAAAATGAACCTTGGAAGTTAATGTTTGATGGTTCAAAAATAGATGAAGGAGTTGGTGCAGGTGTTGTGTTGATTGCACCAAACAAGCAAATGCACCAATTTGCGTATCAGTTGGAAGCACAACATATTCAGTCTTGCAATCAAGCTGAGTATGAAGCTTTGATAATTGGTCTAGAGTTGACCATAGAATTCAAAATTAGAAGCGTCCAAGTTTTTGGAGATTCACAGTTGGTCATTAAGCAAGTTTTGGAAGAGTTCAAGTGTGTAAATGGCGTTCTAGGGGAGTATCTAACTGAGGTCAAATGGTTGATCAGTTTCTTCGACCATGTTACCTTTACACACAGGTATAGATTAGAAAATAGAAAGGCCAATGAGATGGCTCAAGCAGCTTCTGGTTTAAAAAAACCTAAGGGAGCTCAGGAAAGGGTGATTCAAATTAAAAGAAGAAGCTTTTCTGCACTTAGAGATAAATGTAGAAATTTTTTGCCCATTCTCACTTTGGATGTAATAGAGGAGGATTGGAGGTTCCCCTTAATTAAATACCTGTCGAATCCTAGTGAAAAGAGTGATAGACAAATAAGATATCAAGCCCTAAATTATGTAATCATGGGAGAAGATTTATTCAGGAAAGCCCATAATGGGCTAACTTTGCTTTGTATTGGCAAGTTAGACCAAATGAAGGCCATGGCTGAAGCACATGAAGAAATTTGTGGAGCCCATCAAGCTGGTGACAAAATGAGATGGTTGATTAACAAGTATGGTTATTTCTGGCCATCTATCAAAAAAGATTGCATAATGTATGCAAAAGGATGTTAGAATTGTTAGAAACATGGTAATATTCAAAGAGTTCCAGCCATAAATCTTCATTCAATAGTAAAACCTTGGCCATTCAGAGGATGTGCTATGGACTTGATAGGGCAAATTTTCCCAACCTCTTCAAAAGTAAACTCTTGTTTGCTAGTAGCTACTGATTATTTTACTAAATGGGTAGAAGCAGTACCTTTGAAAGTGATAACACAGACTCAAGTCATTGAATTCTTAAAAAAGAATGTAATTCATAGGTTTGGTTTACCCCAGTCCATAACTGTCGATCAAGGCACAATGTTCAATGGGGATGAGATTAAAGGGTTTGCCACCGAATATGGCATTCAAATATTAAATTCCTCACCCTATTATGCCCAGGCAAATGGGCAGGCTAAGGCAACAAACAAGATTGTCAAAAACACTTTAGAAAGGATGATTGAAGACAATCCTAGGGATTGGCATAACCTTCTATCAGAAGTGCTTAGGGCTTATAGAAATTCAAAAAGAAACAGCACAGGAACAACTCCATATGAGTTGGTGTATGGGCATGATGTTGTGTTGCCTTTAGAAGCAACAGTGAGATCCAATCGACTGGCTAGGCATTTGAATATTCCTATGGATGAATATGCAGAAGCCATTTCAATTGAGTTGCAAGATTTAGAAGAAAAAAGGATTATGGCATTTAATCACTTGATAGCCCAGAAAAAGAAGGTTGAGAGAAGTTACAACAAGAAAGTGAAAAGTAAGGCGTTTTCTGAAGGAGAGTTGGTGTGGAAAACTATCATACCAATTGGCTTAAAAAGCCCAGAATATGGCAAATGGTCTCCAAACTGGGAAGGACCATTTAACATACATAAGGTCCTTAAAGGAGGGGCTTATCATCTTGTTTCCATAGAAGGTGAGCCACGTAGGAGAGTCATTAATGGAAAGTATCTTAAGAAATATTATCCAATTATGTGGGAATGTATGAACAGGCCCTGAAAACATGGAAAGGGACATGCATGACAAGCTAGAGTAAAATATGACAAGCTTGAATAAAATATGATAAATTTTTCATTAAAATGCCAGCCAAAAGTACAATTCCAATAAGTATAGATCAAAATAATTACATTTGGTCTAGTCTTTCTGAAAATACATGGAAAGTTTACTCCAGGCTTAAAGGGTAGTTTGGTGTTTGATTTTATTATGGCTGAGTCTAGTTTGGGCCTGCCTAATGGCAAATGGACCACCTTCTGCTTGAGCAAACAGAGTTGGGATTTGTTGAGAAATGGTGGTTTGTCTTTGTTCAGAACAGCTCTTTGAGTTCTCACAACTGCTAGTTGAGCTTCTAGTTGGCTTTCTTCTAGTGTGAGGTTAGTAATTTGGATAGTGAAGGCTTGTGATTCGGTGGAGGCCTCAGTCAGAGCAGTGACTGCTTTTTTCATTTGGTCCGCTTGAGTTTCAGTTGTCTTTGGCTCAGAGTGGAATTGATTGATAGTTGCCAAGTGTTGGGGAAGTTCCAAAAGGAAGTTCTGGAAGGCTTGCACTTGGTCTGGATCAAATAATTAAGGCACTAGAGGTACAATGGCTTTTAGGCATTCAGTTAGAACTGTGGTTTGCGAAAGGGCTAGATCATCCAAAGATTGATTCCATCAATTTTTTTATCTTCACTAGTCAATTGCTTTATTCTGCCTTCGACAGAAAGACTGGCAACAGTTTCTTGTACAGTAGGAATGCCCAGAAGCCAGTTTTTAATTGAAGAAGAAGATACAATTGTAGGATGTGGCAGTAAGAAAGTGAAGTTAATCATTGGTGTAACTTAAAATAAAAATAAAAAATGTGTGTGAAAACATTAGGTGATTACCAGTGATTCTTGAGCAATAGAAGTGTTGGTGTTGGTGACCACAGCCTCTAGAGTTAACTCCTGGATAAGACTATGAATGTGAGAGGTTTGGACCCCCATGTCCATGGTAGTAAAAGCCTCTGGATTAACAGGATGAGTAATCCCTTTAGGGGAAGTTCTTTCTTCATCTGAAGGTGATTCACTCTCCAAGATTTCAGTATCAGCCTTGTCAACTTCATCATTTTGATCAGATAGTTGAATTTGACTGTTTTGATGAGTGTTATCATTTGGTTCAGGAGTAGGCTCATGAATAGGAGAACTCCTGTCGATAGGAGATGTTTGGCTACTAGGGTTGTCAGTTAAATCAATTGGGTTTTCTCTGACATAACCTGAGTCAATTGGAGTTTCTCTGGCATGGCCAGAGGCTTCTAATTCCTCTGAGGAAGAGGCCACGCCAGGAAAATTTATTACTTCATTGGTTCCATGGCATACTCCTCTAAAAATAAAGGCCATCAAATCCCCTAGGGCTATCATTTGAGGAATATCAGCCATAAGGTGTGCCAATTCAGAAGCCAATCCTCTTAAGCCCACTTTCTCTGGGTAAACTCTTTCTAGATCAGCCTGTTCTTCCCCAATGCCAATCTGTTCTTCTTGAATGAGTTGAGGATTCACATGCCCTAAGTCTGTTTGAGGAGAAGGCATTTTTGTCTGGTTTTCAGGCATAGAAGGGGGATTGGTTTGGGCTTCAGAATGTTCTTCATTCTCAGGCATAGAAGAGGGTAGTGTGGCTTGAGTTTTAAGCATCTTATCATGAACAGAAGAAGATGCAGCTGGAGAAAGAAGCCTTCTCCTCTTGTATGATTGAAAGTATGTCTGAAAGAGAGGAAGAAGAGTGGAATAAGGTGACAATATGGATAAACATAATACATATTGACTTAGTAAGAGTTTGAATGAAAGCTATAACTTTATTGGAAGAGAATAAGAACTGCTAGAGGAAAAGGATGCTGGTATAGCAGGAGCTGTGACTTGAGGAGGAATTGATTGTTCTTGCCTTTTTTTTTACCTCCTCTCAAGAGCAACACCACTCTCCAATTGAGACTGAGAAGGTAAAAGTTCTTGTAGTTCTTCTTGCCTACTTTTGGTCCTCTTCTCAATCTCTATACCTTGGTTATAAGGTATGAACCCCTCACAACTAGTGGTGTTCAGAGGATTGCCTTTAGGTTTCTTTAGGGGGTTCATTAGAGCATTGCCTTTGTCCTTAGGAGTTGGATCAACCTGGGCAAGCATCTCTATAGCTAGAGGGGTAATCTTGCTTGGAGGTTATGCTACATATATATATATATATGAATGAGTGAGCAGAAATGGCTAAATAAACTCAAAAAGTAAGCAGTATACATAAAGAAAGGAAAAAGTGGTGGAATTACCAATGGTCATCTCTGCTTCTCTCCTGTTGTCTGGGTGCACATTCCAAAGACAAGCCTGAAGATCTTCATCAAAGATCAAGACACTCATTAAAGACCACTATTCATTAAACCTTGTGGTAGTAAATGAGGTAATCTGGCAGTAGAAAAAGCTGAATTGATCAAATAACTTTTGAACCAGCAGATCTTTCACTTCTTGAGAGATTTTGAGTTGAATCCTGGATCTAACTTGTTCATGGATAGTAGAGTGTAAGTAAGGACAAGGGACAGTTTGATATAGTCCCATTTGTCTAGCCCACTGACAAGGATTATAGCTTTCGAAGCTACAGTTGGAAAGCCTGCTAGTAGAGATAGATCCACCTACTAGAATGTATATGGGAGTGAGAATTTGAGCCCATAAGTCTTTTTGTTGTTGCCTCCAGGTGTCACTCAATGTTTGAGGAGCAGCATTAATATATGTTAATCCGGTGGAAGTGAACTGAAAGTTATGGAAATGGATGAAAAGCTGAGGGTCTCTGTCAACAGGTAGCTCAAATAGAATAGTGAAAACCTTGGTAAATGAATTGGATGAGGCTGGTTGAAAAGCTAAGAAGAATTCAGCATTGCTTTCGCAATGAGAGAAGTAAGGGGTTTGAGTGGTAGGCTTAATTTCAGGAAAATAAGCATAGAGCTAGGCTTGAAAGAGCCAAAAAGGACCTCCACCATTATGATCTATCTCTTTATCGACTAAAGAGAAAAGACCCCTATATAATGTGCCCAAAAGAAAAGGGGCAAAGGCCAATTGTGTGCCTTCTTGGATACAAGTTGCCAAGGCCAAATACTCTTTGGTAATTTTAAGACATGGGACACATAAAAAATGTTGGGAGAGCCACAACAAGTAAAAAGTTGTCCTTTCTTTTTTGGTGGGTTCACTAGAGAATTGTTGATATTTTGTTTGGAACTTTCCATAACTGAGGTCAGTGTCAAGTGGGACTACTGATTGAGGAGTTAAAAGGCACTTATATGCTGGCTAGTAACAGGGAGGCCAGTCAAATGTATAATATCAAGAATGGTGGGAGAGATCATACCAAACTTTAAAATGAGAGAGTTACAGGACAGAGACCAAAAACAAGTTGCAGCGCCAATAACCCATTTGTCCATATCTAGGGCTAATGTTGACAGTTGAATGACATCATAAATGCCAAGAGCTCTCCAAAGGTCACTATCGTAAACCATCATGCGATGAACCCATAATTTCCAATTAGGGTTTGGTTTTTGTCACGAACGTGAGGGGTTAGGGCTCGAATGCCACTGGTTCCAGGCTAGTTTCGCTTTTTTGAAAAGCACCACTTTAGTATCTGCAATGGGATAATAGAGGGTAAGTTCATCAGGGATTTTGGCAAAAAAGGTTGGACCTAATTCCCTTTGGGCAGAGGTGTTGTTGCTGGGAATAATGCAGCTATTAAAAATATGTTGGCGAAGTATTGGTTGGAACTCAGTTGAGAAGCACTGCACAGATGGCGTCCTTTGGTCTAAGCTCGCTTCGGTGCCATTGGAATGTACAAGCAAGAAAAAGGGTTTTCAAAGCAGAAAAGTTCAAAGAGGAAAGCGAAGAACAGAGTAGAGCAGAGGGCATGAGAATGGTAAAGTGATGATTTGAATTTTGATGTTCATATAGCCTATGGTGGACCCTCTTGATTAAGTTTGGGCCTGTCACTTACAATTGGGCTTGACGGTTGGGCCTTTTTTGAATTCATGATTATTTTAACATCTAGATGTTACTTTAAATATTTAGACTTCGATTTGTGGGCTCGTTTTTTTTATAAGCCTAAATGCATCGCCCAAATATATAAATGTACAAGCTTTATTTTGTCCTGACTGACATTCATTTAAAACAAAAAACATCTTTTTGTCTTAAATGAGGGAGGCATTGTTGGCACTAAAATTTATCATCTTTTGATCCAAGGAATGACAGATGTGAAAACCATAAGTTTCCAGTGGGACTAAGTGACGCAATTAAAGGAATAGATGTGGCAGATTTAGTTTTTTCTATCGATTCCTCTGATAACACGATCAGATGGGGCCAAACGTGGCCCAGGTGTCAAGTCATAAGATAAGGCACGCAGATGATGCAGGATACATGGTTTATTTGCAGAGAAAAAGAGTGCTGCAACAGAGGAGCACAGTTGTGAAAATCATGGGTAGTTATGCAAGAAGTGGAGGAAATTTGCTCTATGATGGGACACATGGCAGCAGAGAAGCAGCAAAGCCAGCAGCATAAAGGTTGGAATTTCGAAGGAAAGAAAAACAATCAAACACACAACTCATATGGAATTAGGAGTAATTTAACTTAGTTAGCAATAGCTTCTGTATTTAGTAGTAGTCTGTGTAGAATTCAGCCTCTGTGGCGAAGTTTCCCTTTGTCGTTTGTCATGTATATTAAGCTTGTAATTTAATTCTTGTAATTAAGTGGCAAGTTTACTTGTTCTTCAATCGATTTTCATTTTATTCACATTTGTTTCTTCGTATTACAACCTCCAAAGAAGTCCGTGAATCTATCAAGGCATAGGACATTCAAACCACAATTGCTTGATTTGTTTTTTGTTTGTGAAATTCTAGATTTTCTGTCGAATCTCGTCTGTCAATTTGGCCTTAACCAGATTTTTGCTAACACATAATAAAAATTATGATTTTTGTAATGAAAATTATGAATGTTTGTGGTATGTTATGTCATTTTAAAATAAAAATAATAAATGGTGAAATTAGTTTTTTTTTTTTTTCTTTTTGTCAATCAGATATAAGAAACATTATATAAAAATACGACAATTAAAATTCAACAATAATTGGAAAGACTAACAGTCACCAAGTCTAACAGCTATCACTAGCCTAAACTGGAGAAAAAACAAAATATATATATATATAAAACCTCCATATTGAAGGAGAAATAAACATTACAAAAAGTATCAAACTTCTTTATTATAAAAGTTGAATTCGTAATCTTACACCATAAAATAATGCAAAAATTTTATTATTTTATGGTATATATTATGCTATTTGCGGCAAGAAAAATTATTTTATTTTAATAAAAGCTACGAATTGGGGTTTTGTCATAAGGCGCAAACCATACCCACGTTTTCACTGGTGTGTCACATGTTATTTGAAGAAAATATTAGAAAATAAAATTTGTTAATTCTTTTTCATCCCCTCAAATTTTGTTAATATTGTAGGGGCTGAAAGGTGGAAAAGAAGAAAAGCCTATTTTTTTCTCCTAGTTTTGTCTTTCAGTGTAGCATTCTCTCCACAGCCACCTTTTTCCTAGCATTAAACTGGATGTCTGCTTATATTATTTAAATTAAGATGAATTTGAGTGAGAATTTGAATTTGAAGTCATATGGGATGTACTTTGATTTTATCAATAATTTAAGACATCTAATATAACATTTGTACATGATACAACACATCATTTGCATTGTTATTTGATGGGGGAAATTAGGGACGCAATCAGGATTTCATTATTGAAGGGATAAAAGAAAAATAATTTTTTTACTATATACACAAAACATATATATATGTATAATATGATAAATATAAATTATATATACATAAAAAAAAAATAAATACCATAGAAGCAATTTCTAATAAAGTAATGAAGTTTTTTTGGTATAAAATAGAAAAGAATTCAAGATGAAAGAAAGAATGACATATATATATTTTTTATATTGGGGAGCCATTTTATATATAAAATGATATATATATAAATATATATATATTATATATATTATATATATATTATATTTTTAAAAATTTTATAACAACAATAATTTTCACAGAAACAGAGGACATAACCTCCATAGTCTTATCCTATTCCGTCCCTGGAGAAATACTGCACAGTGGTATAGTGAACAAAAATTATTTTCTATGAAAAAAGTTATACATTTTAATAATTAAAACAGTATACTTTTTCATGCTTTTGTAAAAGTTTTGACTGCACCACTGTGCAGTTATTTTTCCCATAGTTTATCCGTCCGTACATTATGGGCTCCAACCCATAACCAACACCCAATCCAACCAATTAATTAGCCCATCTTTGATGTGATCCATTGGGCTTTCTCATTTTAAAAAATGCGAACATCTCAAAAGATGGCAAAAAAGATGTGCGAAAAACACGAAAGTAGGTTGGTTTCTCACATGTTTAAGTATCAACTTAGACCATCTCCAACGGTGAACTAAACTAGCATCAATTTAAAATTTGGTGAAAAAGTCATTTTTTTAGCTTCAACGTTCACCAAATCGGATATCAAAATGAGAAATTAGCAAAAAAAGTATCAAACTGAGTGCAGGCGAAGCATTTCACCAAAGCACTGTTCCTAACCGTTGGGATGAGACGAACGGGTCGACCATCCGGTTGACCAACCGGTTAACCAACCGGTTGCCCCGGAGAAAGTTCAGACCGTTCACAAAAAGGTTCAAACCAGTCAAAAAAAAAAAAAAAAAAAATTTGCCTAGGTGGTCGACCACCCGGTCGACCACCAAAAGTTCAAAAAATTCAAAAAAAAAGGTTCAAACAGGTAAACAAAAAAAAAAAAAAAAAAAAAATTTTGCCGTTACCGGTTGACCGGCCGGTCAACCGTTTGCCCAACGCAAATTTGATGAAACGGATTTGATGTTGAACCGTTGGAGCGTGAAGTATCAAATTAAGGAAATGACCCATTTTTTACTCAGATTTGGTGAAACATTTGGTACACCGTTGGAGATGCTCTTAACAGAATTTGAGGGGCTCGGGGAATTTATTACGGATAACATTTTTATGATTTGAATTTGTATTATCTTTTTGTATATAGTATTTATGAAAAAAATTAAGTGTAATAATAGTCTTTTAATTCTATCACGTTTGTCTTTCAAAAAATAGAAAATAATTATATTTTTAAAAATAGATCATTTATTTTTTTTTAAATAAACATGATAAAATGAAATTTTTTTCATGAATGACATAGATTGAGATTTTTATAAAATGAATTGTTGAAATAAGACTTATTGTGAGCCCCATGGGCTTCACAAGTTCTCTTAAATTTAAATTTGAACTGAAGAAAAGCCCAATCCAAATAATTGAAACGAGACTTGTGGTGACCCTATAGGCCTCTCAAATTCTCTTAACTTTAACCCAAATAGAAATGTTATAAATCCAATGAATTGTCCCCGTACTTATGTATATAGTTAAAGTTATTATATTATTATTTTTTCTTTTTCTGTTTAATTTGATTTCAGAAGAAGATGCTGGAATAATGTGAATTTTGAAAAATATGAATCTCACTAGTAATAAAATATTTATATTAATGCTTATTAGAGCGTTTAGTTTTGTTAAAGAACTTTTTATAGAAAAATTGATAAAATTTAAAAATTGTGGACCTAATTATTATTTATTTTTTTTTGTTAAGTGACTAGCTTATTATTATTATTTTTTTCTTTTCATAAATGTGATAATTACATAGGAAAGTGAGAGAATAAGATTTCTATTTATTTTTTGGGAGTGTAATTCTTGGTAAAATAAATAATTAAGAATCACTTTTCTATTCTAATCTGTTCTATAAATCATCGAATACTGAAGTCACATTCTCATTCTCCTTCACGATTCCGAATGTCCTAACTTAAAAGCAATTTTTTTTTTGAATAAATTAAAAACAGCTTAAAATTTACTTAAAACACGATTTATTGATTTCACAACAAATGATCACTTTTATTAAAAAAATCATCAAATTAATTAATAATTTTTAATAATATCAAAATTTTATTTTAATTAATAATTCAAATAATTTTATCATTATATAAATAAATAATTAGGAATTTCATTTTTTTTAATTAATTTTGTTTAATAAAAAATTTTAACAAGAGAATACTTGTAATTTTTCAAATCACAGGAAACAATCTGTATTTTAAACAAATTTCAAAAAATATATTTGTAATTTACCCTTGGTTATTTACACAAAAACCACCTACTTGAAAAATATCACTTTGATCCCCTAAATATACAAATTGGCTCCATAAACTATTAAGAAATATCACTTTGTCTCCTAAACTATAAAAATGTACAAATAGATCCCTTAAACTATAAAAATATACCAATTAGAACTTCAAACGAAAGAAGTCAAAATAAAACACATCAATAGTTTAAAGGATTGTACACTTTCATAATTTAAAAGACAAAGTAATACTTACCAATAGCTTAAAAAATTCATTTGTACGCTTTTATAATTTAAGAAATTAAAATTTCAAAATAATCTCTTAATAATATAAGAGATCTCCGAGTAAATAACCCATACCAATAACGTTACTCTATATTTACCAAACCCTTGTTTTCTTACCCTGTTCTTCCGGTTGAATTAGCAAAACCCAATCCATGCCTATTTATCAATTGAGTAATGATTCATCCCCCTTTGACCCCCTCTCTCTCTCATTAGTTACCTTTTCTTTTTCTTTTTCTTTTTTTTCCTGCTCCTTCAATCACCCCTGCCACATGGCAAAGGGGGGTGAGGGGGTGACCCCCAAAATGGGGTCCCAAGCATTATTCTTATCAATTATATTGCTGAAGAAAAAATGAGAGAGAGAACCCAACTATCAAATCAGTAAATATCCAGCTTCACAAAATTTTCAGTTGATAAAAATTTTGGTACCAACAAATATATTTAAAATGAATTCAAGCCTCTGCTCTACCAACCAAATCGAAGCTATTCTTTTTCTTCTTTTTTTTTTTCCCCCCCAAAAAAATAAAAAATCATCCCGCTGTAGCCCTCGCTCTACCAAAAAGGACCTTGCATCCTCTGCAAAACAATTCGAAAGCTTAATGTGTATAAATCCTCATCACATAATTGTACACTTTTCATCAAAAGGCACGACACCCAGTGATTTCCACAACCCAACAACGCTCTAAAGTCTTCATATCTGCTTCTTCAGCTCTTCAAGAAGCAGCCACTGATGATTCCTCCTCTTTCCGTCCTCTCCACAGTTTTTGCTAGCCTTATACAATCAGTTAAAAAGGGCAGATCTTTTGCTAATCTTTGACCAGATCCATTTCATGACAAAGGCTTGTAGTATCAGGAACTATACCTCCATCACGGTAACTTAGAATACCATCCCCTAAAAGATCATTCAACAAATAGGCCGGGTCTTTGGCTCCACCATGTTGCAAGAATTTTGTTCTAAGAGCAGATCCTGTGGCTAATGATAGAGGGTCATCCTGGCATATCTTTTGCCATATGGTCGCCGCAAAGCACTTGGCATATAAGTAGCTATAGTAACCTATATATTGGCATGAAAAATACCTTACTAGAAAGTATCCAGTAAAACAGCATGAAAAATGGAAATCACCATATGAATGGTCCATCTATCCCAAAAAAATATATATATAACTGTAAATTACACTGGTCTCCCCTCAGATTCAAAGAAAGTACAACAAACCCCACAGTTTTGACATGGTTTCACTGACCTGCCTTTTAATAAGGTTAAAGGGACTGAAATTAATGCAAATGATGGGAAAACACAAAGACAAACAAAGACTAGATTTAAGCTATTAAATAAGGTTTTAACTCTGGTTGAGATTCAAGGTTAAATTTGGTTTGAAATTAAAGGCATAAGCTTCCAGGAATTTCTGGACACAACTGCAATCTTGTTTTTAAGCTAAAAAGGGGGTAAATTAGGGTTGGAGGTCAATGACTTAAATGTTAGGCTTTTAGAATAAATTGTGAAATTAATGCAAATGATGTGAAAACACAAAGACAAACAAAGACTAGATTTAAGCTATTAAATAAGGTTTAACTTTGGTTGAGATTCAAGGTTAAATTTGGTTTGAAATTAAAGGCATAAGCTTCCAGGAATTTCTGGACACAACTGCAATCTTGTTTTTAAGCTAAAAAGGGGGTAAATTAGGGTTGGAGGTCAACGACTTAAATGTTAGGCTTTTAGAATAAATTGTGGTCCTTGAAGGATGGACTGTAGTGATTTATTGTGCAGTGCAAGGGTGAAACAAACAGTAAGAGAAAGAAGGAAAAGAAAAATAAACCCTCAAACCTCACTAAAGATTTAAGGAATGCCACGAGAAGAAATCAAATGGAGTCTCAACATCAAAGACTGTAAAAACCTGTAGCAAACAATTTTTTTTTTTTATTGGCACATGACTGTCTAGATCAAAGTCCGACTAATCCTCAGAGGTGCACAGGCCCTCTGCAAGGAGTTTCTTATAGGTGCACCATAGTTAATTCAAGGTTTTCCCCCAATCTGATGGCCCCAAGGAATTTTAGCACCTAAGAGGTTTCGGTCCTTAAACCTTGGAGGGAGCACAACCCCAAGACCCAAGGCCTTGCCTCCAGGCCATCCCCTTGGGGTTGCAAACAACTATTAATCCAAACTCTTTAGATTTTCTCTTCTAGACTAGCCTATATAGAAGCATAGGTAACATAAATTTTCCAATCTAGAAGCTGCTACCTAACAAACAATTTCATAAAGTGCTTAACTAATTCCAACAAGCATAACTGTGGCACTCCCAGTTCCTTGTGTCAAGGTTAGGACACCTAGCAAATGTGCATGGTGCAACAATATATACATATCCTAAGATGCACAATTGTCTATGAAGAGGAACAATAAGATAATTCTTGATTGTGATGATACCTGCACCGTAGTTGAGAAGGTGACTAAAGCGGGTGTGCCAATGTGTACCCTCCACATGCTTCCAACTAGTATGTCGTCTTTTTAAATCCGCAACAACCGAAATTGTATCCATTGGTGAGGATGGCTGTTCCCCGAAAAGTGTTTGGTCAATTAAGGCATAAAAAATCTGACAGAAGAAAACAAGCAAGCAAACTTTTGTTAAGGTTCATGCTCCATCTTTTTTTTTCTACATGGTTTGGTAATTCAATTAATGCCTCAGAAAACAAACCTGACGTTGCAACTCAGTTGCCGCAAACATCTTTTTGGCTCCCTGCATTGACTCTACCAATTTCTCAGGTATTACTTCCCCAGTGGAATAATGTCTCGCAAATGTCTTCAGGACACGATAATCCCAAGCATAGTATCTAGAAAAAATTACCAAAACCAATAATAAGATGGCTCTCAGATTTTAGTTATATACACATACACCACGTATGAAGATTTAAGTAGAGGTTCAGAGCCTATCACTCACACTGTAGTAAATTAAGACCTTGGAACAAGATTGTAAATAGCAACATTAGGATATGAAGTGGTATCGGTCATGGTGTTACGGTGTCGGGAGTATCAAGCAATGAGTATCTGGAACCGGGCGATTTGGTCGTGGAAATTTTAAAATACGCTTGTTTGGATTACTTTAATCTTCATTTGTCATATTTGAATTAATATTGTGATATCTGAAAGTATACCTTGCTTCTTAATGAAAATTCAACGTTCACAATAAATAAATAAATAAATAAATTTGGACATTTAAGATGTAATAGATGAATTAATCAGTAAATGTAGAGCCCTTGGGGTGCGTTTATAAAATAAAAATAAAAAATAAAAATACCCATATATCCATAAAATGCTATCAAACAAAAAAATAAAATAAAAAACTTCTACTCTCCCACATCAAACAAACAAATAAATAAACATCAAACAAACAAACAAATAAATAGAAACAATCCCACTCTCCCATGTTTATAAATAAAATATAAAATAAAAATAAAAGAATAAAATATTCATCATATCCACAACTCCTACAACAGATAGATATAAAAATAAATAAATAAATAACCACCCATGTATTCTTATCTCCTTAAACCATTACTCTCCCACATTCAACTCCTACAACAGATAGATATAAAACAAAAACCCACATATCTATCCATATCCCCTTAAAAGAGTTTTGTTTTGTTTTTTGTTTTTTTTTTGGTTGTTTTTCTTTTATTTATTTGTTAGAAAGCTTTTCACTGTATTGAAAGTCTTTGAGAGCGGAGGAAAAGAGTTATACACCAAAAAAAAAAAAAAATTGCCACGTATTTTTCAAAATTATTAGAATTTGAGAATGGAACTTTGAAGACTTTTGAAACAACACTATATTCGGTTATATATATAGTATAGATATGTTTTTGACTCTCATGTTCGAATTTATCCCTACATATAAAGTACGAATGTTGGGGGACGAAAATTTCGGCCTCGGTGGAATTATTTTATGGGCACTCAGTCGATTAATTTAATATAAACTTATAGATTTTACTGAGTGGATTTATTGTATAATAGGTCTTATGACAATTAATAGTGTTTTTCATCATACACTATTAAGCAAGGGATTTTTGTTGATAAATTCCATTTAGGAGTATTCTAACCCAAGAAGTCCATAAGTCCCACATCAATTAGAAAGAGGCTATGAGGCATTGCATGACTGTTACAAATACAAGTTTCATTTCGTGGCCTCGAGGACATAGTCCCTTAGTCTCACATCACGCCAAAAAAGGGACTTGAGGTGCTCCACCTCTTTTAAATGAGTAATACTACAAACACACCCTTGTCAACCTAGAAATTACCCAGAAATTAATATCCACTGCACCTCACATGGACCCCACATGGACCCCAAACAACACAAATTAATCTCCTCCACACAATCACCCACCCAAAAAATTCTGGGTCGGTAAGTCTGGGTTACCAGACTTTCCCCTTTTAAATAGGCCACTGATATACTACCAATGTGCTTCAAACCATGTGGATAGCTATAAAGCCTCATGTGGCTTATTGTGGCCAGTACAAAACTTTTTAATATTGTTTTACAATTTTTTAAATCAAACGAACCGGAGAAAATCGCTTTTGTAAACCAACATTTTCCGGGTGAAATGGAAATTGGCCACATCGTTTTGAACATATTTGTTGGGGCAAGAGAAAACTAGTGAAAATTTTGGTTAGATTAAGTTAAATAATATTAGATTCCTAAAGTAAACACATTTTTGTTACATTAATTCCATATTTAGAACTCATAAGCTTTTTAAAATGCAAGTATATCACCATTATTGTCTTGATGCAAGATAAAAGGTTGTTTACAATATAGCCAAAAGCAAAGATGTGCCCGATGTGTATAAGATATATCAAGGGTCAGATATTCTGGTGTGTATACATAATTATAATTTAAAAGAACATGTTGCCTATATCTATATGATGGCAACATGTTCCCTATAAGGCTATGTCTATGCAATGGTCCGCTTCTGCATTTTCCATTTTCTATATATTTTCTAACTTGACGGGCTCCTCTCACTAGCAGTTAAGATTTTAGGCTTTCCCTTCAACAAATCAATGACATGCCGGTACAGTAACCGACAAAGTCTCACCCAGCCACATCAAACAAAGAGCCCCGTCTAGCATATGAAGTGTCAACCATCAACTTGATCTCTGAGAGCCAGGTATGGGTCTCTCAATTGTTACAATAACCAGATTTTATTAGTTATTGAACCAAACAGCATAAACTCGAGCTTTAGTACGAGTACCCATCCAACAAATCTTTCCCTCTTACATGCATGAACACAAAGACACCCAAACACAAAAACAATGAAGACACCACCATCTACAAGGAGACATCACCCAATTTTCAAGTACAGAAGCAGCTGATAATGTACAAGGTAGCAACTAAAAGCTATTGAACCATATCTTATTTCATACATACGAGAATCTCAAACAGCTAAAAGGTAAACGTAGAAGCTATGTTGGCAGTCTACTCACTCAAAGAGGTTTGAAGGTGTTTCAGCCAAATCAAGAACCACCCTAGTACCTGAAAAGTGCTGGTAATCCTACAAGTACCATTAAAAAAAATAATTAAAAAAAACATATTACAAGTGAAAACAAGGAAAACATCAACTGCCAACATAGTAGCAAGTTATCGAGGGAATACCGTCCGTGAAAGCAATGAGTGAAGAGCATGTCCAAACTCATGAAAAAGAGTTTCTACTTCCCAGTGGTTAAGCCTCACAGCAGCTGAATTACGTGAACCCGAAAAATTGCAAACAAGGGCTACAACCTGCACCATGAGGAAGTAAACCTGAATTTGAAGGAGCCAGATGCATGCAAACCAGAAACCCCAAAAAATTATCAGACTGATACATTCAAATCAATACGACCATAATATAGGAAGCCTAGGGACAAATTTCTTCATATAGAGTAGATGAGTATTGTGTGACCTGTTATTTTGTTATCCATTATACAACCTGTTATTTTGTCATCCATTGGTTTATTTTGACCATCAACTTATCATAACAGAATATTCCTCCAACTTGTGCAAGTTTACTTAAAAATTAATTTAATATAAGAAAATTACGCTTTCCATTGCACATCTCCCATGAACATATTCCACCTTCAAATGCAGCATATCAAGAACCCTACCATTTTCTCTTTTGTAGTCAACCTCATGCGTCTAAAAAAATCACTTGGACTCTGTTTGGATCTTGGATTTGTAGATGGATTCGTGGAGGAAAAAGAAAGAAGTGAAATGAATGAAGGAGAAGTCAATTTCCTTTCATTTTTCATTACACTTTTCTTTTCCCTTTACAAATCCAAGATCAAAACATAGCATAGTTCATAATGTCATCACATTTTGTACAACTAAAGGGTAATTAAATTTTTGTTGTTGTATCCCCAGTCAAATAACACCTGTAATTGCTACAGTTTATTATGTAGGCAATGTAGCATTTACCCTGCATATCAAACTTGAAGATCGTAAAAACCTTCCACACACAATATATGAATCTTTAACATCACACTTCTTGCCATTGCCACTAGAAATCAAACTCTAAAAAGAAGAATCTTGGAGAAAATGAGCCACGAAAAAATTGGACAATCTCCAAATAAGTGATTTGTGATGGGTTATGTTGATAGGCAAGTCAAAAAAAAAAAAGAGAACAAACTCCAATATACCTCACCCTAACACAACTCAAAGGGGACAAAAAAAGAAAGAAAAAAAAAAAAGAAGAAAAAGTGTTAGAATTTCCCATCTTTACCTTCACCTACTCCACTACACACTCCACTTCACCTAACCCACTATCACCTCCACTACACCTACTACCACATTTTCTTCTATATATAGATTGTATAGGAATTGTAATTAATGCATCTTGTAATCTATCAATCAAGACATCAATCAATAATACATAAATTCTTACAAAAAGAAATAACAATAACATCTCCATTGCAACAAATCAGCAACGCTAGAAAACATCACAACAGCTTGGACTGCTAAGGATCGCACCGCCTAATGAACCTTATCACTCCACTAAAATTCATCAGGTGCTCAATTATCTATAAGAATAAAAAAGATAGCAGACAGACACAAGGAAGAGCTCAATGCAGCATACCAAATATGCCGTACTAAGAAACATGGACATGTGACACAACACGAACATGCCGACATGGAAATTAAAAAAACAAAATTGTAGAGCAAATGCATGGGACACAAGCAAAGTATATAATTTTATATATTTCATTATATGGCATATAAGAATAAGCAATTAGTATACGTCATATAAATGAATATTTAATTTAAAGATAACAATTTTTAAAGTCTAAAGGAGAATAATAGGGTATCATTTTATGTTGTTTATTTTTATTGTCAGATTCCAAGCTATTTATTTAAACTTGTAATGTGTTTTATATGTTTGTAAGCGATAGACACGCATTCCTCAAGTGTTTGAAGTGTGTCCAAGGCCAGAAATTTTTTTTAAAAATAGTTGGAATTTGGAAATGTCCGATGAGTGTCGTGTCAATATACAACACTAAGTCTAAAACGACACCCCACCTTCTTAGAAGTGTCCATATTTCTTAGATGCCAACTACTCATGATTGCACCTCCTAATGAACCTTAAGCTGTCATCAATCCGCTGAAATTCAGCAACATTTGCTAAAGCTAGTAATCATAGTTGTCAAATTGGGATCCGAATCGCGAATCGAATCGAATCGTGAATCGTAAAGATTCAATCACTTTTTTCTAAATTACTTAGAAAAATATATCTACATACTTGGATGTGAAATATATCATATGAATATGAAATATTTAGACTTAAATCAATGAAAATGTTGTTTTGAATGATGATCATGTAGTTTAATAGGTAAGAAATTAACAAAGGTTTCTATGTAAGATCACCATCTTACCCTTTTCCTTTTTTGGATATGTCTTATCAACCATTCTTAATAAAGACAGTAAACAAAGACAAACTCTTAATTTCCAAAATAACAATAATTTGACAACGATATTAATATTTGAACAATAAGCATACATACTTTTTCCGGGTAACAATGACCAAATAATAAAAAAACATTATTTAGGATATTTTATTTTAAAGTCTAAAAAATTTTCAAATGTATAATTGACCTCGCCCATGTAATATGCAACTACATTTAATTTAATAAAATAGCAATAAATAATTCATGGTGTAAGTTACTTTAATCTTAAACAAATTTAGAAGATATATTATGATTAGTTAAAGAAAAAAAACAAAAATACAAGTTAAAAGCATGTTGGGTCTGATGGAATTGATCGGATCTTATTAAAAATTCCATGATCACTAAAATAACAACAAATCATGTAAATATATAGGTTGTTTTGGTACTAAATGCTATTAAAAGTTGTATTATATCATTTTCAATAAAAAGATAGTGAAATAAAGAGTAAAAAATATATCGGACTCGATAGTTTCAAGAATTGCATAAATCGTAAAAAGTGAATCAAATCGTGAATCGATTGGGAATCATATGATTCACTAAAGATTCACTTTCAAAATAGATTCACCCATAGATTCGTATAAATTTTGTAAAAATTGTGAATCGAATCATGAATCGAATTGTGAATCGTACGATTCTGATAACAGAGCTGGTAATATATAGCCCCCTGTAAGAGATTAAGAGGTGGCTCTCCGAATGAAGTTCTCTCAACCTATATCATATCTTCACAACTATGGAAAGATTTGTTGGTGGGCTAGTCTTTTGCGGTCAGCATGCCATGCAAAACTGTGATGAATTGCCAGCATGGCTTACAAACAGTGATGCATTAATTCAAGTCCTACTGGCCTAACATGATCATTGGATTGGCCTGCAATGTGATGCGGTAGGGGTTAACAAGGTTAAGATGCCCAAACGAGTTAGGGATCAGGTAATTATATCAAACAGGGGTTCAACCAATTTTGACGTTTGCTAAATTATAATACATAATGGAACTCAATGTGCACAAGGTGTTTAACTTTATTGCTAGTTTAAATTTCATTTTTCAAACAAGCATATTGGACATTGACACTCATAAAAAAACCAACAAAGATCTATACAGGGGGAGAAATGTGTAACCATAACAATATATTTGTACCGATGCTGATTTTAGTGATTTATAGAAGACACCATCCAATATCATTACCAAATCACCTCAAATTTGAAGCTACTGATGCTCACTTTAGTGATTTATAGAAGATATCATCCAATATCATAACCTAATTACCTCAAATTTGGAGCTAATAATAGCCTTCTATGAAGCATGGACACCTCTCCAGCAGCAACATATGGGTGTCTGACACGTCAAACACGGACACGCAGCGGACACATGATGGACACGTGTCAGACACAATCTATTGTGTCCAGAATTTTATTATATTTTTTTCCAGTTGGACACTTTGTGGACACACTCACAGACACTCGAGGGACACTGTGAGAAGAGAGAGAGAGAGAGAGAGAGACCTACTTGTGAATCTGCGATTGCTTCAATAGGGATCTTCAAAAGCTTCGACAGCTTCACCTAGGGTTTACAGGTGAGCGACTTCTCCTCTCTCTCTCTCCTCTCTCTCTCTCTCTCTCTTATCTTTTTTGTCTCTCTTTGTCTCATCATCTTCATTCTTCTCCCTGTTTGGTTGTCTTCTTCTTTTCTTTGTTTTCCTTTAGACTCTGTTTTGTAGTCTCTCTCTCTCTCTCTCCCCCCTCCGTATCTTTCTCTCTTTTTTTCTTCTCTCTTTTCTGTTTAATTATATATTTTTTGAACCGCTTGTATGAGGTCAGCTATTGGATAAGAACAAAATTTTGGCAACCCTCTATTTTTTAATATTCATCTTTGGCCCTAACATGCATAGAGCAAATTAATTTTATTTGAAGAAAAAATAAATTTCTTGAAATTGATGAATTTATTTGTTAGGTAAATTGCTGAAATTGATGAATAGTTGTATATATATTTTAAAATATTTATTAATGTTATTTTTCATTTTTTATTACTTCTCAATTTTTTTTTTAATTTTATGACATAATAAATAAATAAAATTATATACTTGGAGCGTGTTCTCAACGTGCCGTGTCCCATATTTTTTGAAAATTTGCGTGTCCGTATGTCCGTGTCATGTCCCATGTCTGTGTCCGTGCTTCTTAGATAGCTTTCTTTTCAACCTTTTATTTTTCATTGCCTTATATGTCTGTTTGAAGCTATTGGGGGCTAACTAATTAGAGCTACTAAAGTATTGAAATTTGTAACCTCATAAACTTTTATTGTCCGCATAGCAATATTATAGAAAAGCAGCTATCAGATTAATACTCTCTTTGAGCATGGAAGTTTGAGAAGGAAAATGGAGCTCCCCTTTCCACCCAGCACCCTAACTAGTTGTGTACATTCCTGTTGTCTAAAGAAATATTTTATATAACTGAAGAACATATTTATGTTATGTCTTAGAGAAAATAATTTATAACAGTAAGATGCCAAATAAGTAAGAATGACCAAAGGTGTGAACAATTACATCATGTAACAGTTGCCAGAAACAAAACATAGTGTCATTTATACACAGGATGGAAGAAAGAAAACCAAATGAAAGAGAATATTCAATTTACATACAGGAAGTTGGTATTCCGTTTCAGAGATGCGGCGCCCCCCTTTAATGGCAAAATGAGCACAACCAGGATACTTGCCTGTTCTTGAGTTCAAATCAAGGTACAAGTAACCCAAGTCACCCTGAAATAGAAGTATTATGCCTCAATAGAACGATAAGAAAAAATGTCAAATGGACCCGATTAGGGCTTTTCAAAAATGGCAAGAATGAAACATGTGAAACTATCAATGAAAGTAACTGCAAGGGGACCCTGTACCAACTGAAACAGCCTTAGGATGTTATAAGTTATAACCAGTGTCGATATGAAAATTAGAAACCATGCATTTTGTACCACACTAATGCATCAGAAAAGTTGCAACAAAGCTGATGAACATGCTTTTTATTATACAAACCACTCCTAAAAACTAGAAAATGACTATCAAAAAATAATCTCCTACACTTCAGAAATAGGCACGCTTAGATGGATGTGTGGTAAGACTAGGAAAGATAGAATTAGAAATAAATATTTTCGTAAAATCGTAAGAGCAAGTACCTATTGAAAATAAGTTGAGAGTTACAATGGTTTGGTTATGTACAACAAAGACATATAGAAGCAACATTAAGTAAGAGTAATATGATTACCATAAATAAAGACTTAAAGTGACATGGAAGCGGTAGTGAAAAAATATATGAATTTATTTAATTTAACTGAGCAAAAAGACCTTGGTAGAAAAAAATGGTGAAAAAAGATTCATGTAAATGGCCCTATTTGATTGGAAGGACATAGGACTTATTTTTGTTTGGGGGATAATACATAAATAGGTTGGTGATACTATTGCAAGTATCAATTGATGCAAAATTGGCTAGAAATATACCATGATGCTATGAAGCACATACATCTCTCCGAAGGTGATGTACAGGTGTCCAACACATGTTGGACATGGACACGCTCCAAACACGCTAGAAAGAGTCGGACATGCTGGGACATTTGGGACACGTTGGAGACACGCCAAGGTCCTTTTTTTCAAAAATAAAATAAAATATTTAATTTTTTTACTAAAATAGCAAGCCTAAGGTTGATAAATTTGATAAAATTAAATATTTGACATAAAATAAATATTAAATATTTAAAAATATGAAATATAATAAATATATAAAATTATATGTTTCGCACGTGTCCCCAATGCCTGCATTTTTTGAAAATTTGCTTGTCGGCGTGTCCGTGTCTGTGTCCTTGTCCTTGTTCGTGCTTCTTAGACATGATGATTAAAATTGCTCATACAACCAATTTGACATCATAGTCTCCATGCATTATCATATTTACTGCTTTTCTACGATTTTTTTTTTTTTGATAAGTCTATTTATTGCTTTCAAGAAATGGACTTTAATAGAAGATCAATAGCTAACGGTTTCAGAAAGGCAGCTCATGGGAAAACTCAAATTTAGGAAAAATTCCAATCAGGGAAGAATTTAAGTATCAAAAGTGCAAGGTTTCTAGGATGCATCCTCAGATATTTTTTTCCTTCATTATTTTTTTTTTCTTGGTTCAAGTGGAGGAGGGGTTGGTGTTGCATGAAGCTAAGAACTCAAATACGACAACATAATGATTGTGTTACATGGACATTTCTATTTTCCCCGAAATACCCATGTTCACCATATATGGTAAGAGTAAAGGTGTAGATGTGTCAGACAACCGTATCCAATTAGACACTTAAATTCTCTAATTTTTTTTAGGATATTTAAAAGAAAAAGAAACTCAAATTTGCTAGTAAAGAAACATTTTTAGTTGCTCACATGAATGAGTTGGAACTTTATATTTTCCTAAATCCTATTTAATTTCTAATACATTTCTACATTTTACAACAACTTATCTAAAATATTATAAAACATGCAACATATATAAGTGCTTGTTTGGGAATTGACCTTTTTAGTGACTTTTTGACTTTTTTTGAGGTAAAAAAATAGTTAAATGTGTTTCGGAATGACTTTTTTTAGTTGATTTGCCTTTTTAGTGATTTTTTGGTTTTTTTAGTGGCTTCTTGGTTTTTTTTTTTAGTTGATTTCCCCTCTATTTTCCCTAAAGTACCCATGTCCACCAGATATTTCTTGGTTTTTTTAGTTGATTTGGATGGTTGTCATATAATAAATAGTTGTATAATTGTATTTGTTGTTAACAGATATTTTTAGATAGTTATCATGTAGTAGATGGTTATTAGGTTTTTAATGTGTAATTGATATATTTAATATATGAAATGTTATTAGTTTTGAATTTTTTGATTTAATGGATTGGTTTAATAATGACATCAAAATTGTCGCCATGTTTGACTTCGAAAAAATAGAAACTAATTTAACGAAAATAAATATAAAAAAAAATTATTTTAAAAAATTATTTCTACTCTCCCAAAAGATAAAATTATATTAAAATGATGTGTTTTTTTTGTTTTTTTTCACAAATTTAATTTTTAGTTTCTTAGAAAAGTTTTCTAAAAATAGATTCTGAAAACCAAACCAAACCAAATATAACTTTATAATCAAGAAAGTTCGAACATTATTCATTGAAAAAAAAGGCCATTACATTTTAAACAACATACAAGTTAATCAACACAAAATAAGTTGTACAACGACTTTACCTTTGAAATGGACTGTTTGCAAAGAAAACTTTTTTTTATTGTCCTTATTCAGAACAAGATTCAAAATTCAGGGTCAAATGTATCACAATTGAAAGGTCAGAACTAAATTGACACAACCCCCAAACTATGGGGACTGTTAGTATAATTCGGCCTTTCTTCTTTGGTAGAAAAAAGAACACTATCGAAAAACTATTCATGTATTTATCATAACAATTATACTTTAATATTAAGCAAGAATCATTACATTATCAATTTCATGATAGTTTGAATACCAGACCTAGAGTATATGAAAAGTATCTAGTAATTCTCAAAATTAAAGAAAATTAATATTAAATATTGATATGTTTACGAAGTATTGGATACATATTTGCGAGTATCCAAGGGGTATTGGTATTCAATACAAGCATGATATGGATATGACTTTATTCATGTATTTATCATAACAATTATACTCTAATATTAAGCAAGAATCATTACATTATCTATTTCATGATAGTTTGGATACCTGACCTAGAGTATATGAAAAGTATCTGGTACTTCTAAAAAATAAAGAAAATTAAAATTAAATATTGATACGTTTACGAAGTATTGGATACATATTTGCGAGTATCCAAGGGATATTGATGTCCAATGCCCCCATGATATGGATATGACTCCCTTCTAGAAGTATATGTGCTTCACCGCAGAAGAGCCTAACAAAGTAGATTGCAGCTCAATCTTACAAAGAATTGAACCATTAAACATAATTACATAAATCAACCATAATTTGTATCTCCAGATCAGATGAAAAGACACAAATTTTTTAATACCATGAGCGACACTAGTGAAATGGCATTTAGAGATAGCATGAATAACCCATAAAACACTTCAATATGGTTGGGAAACAGTAACCAAGTGAAGGTGCCCTGTTCTCATTTCATGAGAATCATAAGCAATGAACCAAGGGAATATTCTCACTGAAAACTTGGCCATCTTCTACTGCTCTTCTAAAAATTTGAATACATTTAGCAAACTTCCTGGTGATCAAAGCCACCATAGCGATATATAAGGTTGGCATGGATCAACGCATAAACACGGGCAAAAAGCTAGAAGAAAATTGAATTGCAGCCTAAGATTGATGTGTATAGGATTAAAAGTTAGCAAACCAATCATAATCACATTATTGAATAAGAAATATGGGAATAAATCATTACAAAAGATATATCAGTTTTTTTTCCTTTTTTTATTTTTTTGGCAGGGGTAAGGGGACAATGCATTTATAAGAAACATATGTTACTATTACAAATCAGTTGAAAATAGGTCAATATCAGTAGTTCTTAAATGATTAAAGCACTATAACTTTTAAAAGGAAGTCTTATATGTACCTCTTCAGGGTGATAAAGGGACATTTTAAGCACATCCGTATGCCATGACTCCCCAGGTGCAAGAGGGATACTACGAAATGTCACACCAAATAATAACTCAACCAGCACCTTCAAACCCTCTATACATTGTGTCAAAGGAAAATATGAAGCTACAACCTGCAAAAAAAATCAAGGACAATCATTGCAATTTCTGAATCTAAAGTATAAGATAAATGATTCAACAATCACAACCCAGAAATCTTCTAAACATAGGAAAAACCTTAGAATTGCCTAAAGTCATCGGTCGACAACAAAATCCACTAGAATTATGTGGACTGTGAGAAAACAGAAAACAGAAAACAGAAAACATAAGCATGTTGCTTACCAAGGAGTCCAAGCTGTAAGCAGAAGACTTCATCAACCCTGTGAAGTATGCTTCGTCCCAAGGGTCTAGGTCACCATTTATTTGTCCATTCTTCTCTCTCTTAAAATCCCAAATTCTCTTAAACTCCTACAGAGACAGTAACTTCTCATCTAAGTACATTTATTGCGACAAATTCAGCAGCCAGAAAGTTAAGTACCACCACTTCAAGCCTTAAACTCATGTGCTGAACATAATACCTTATCAGCTTTGGGCCTGACCATTTCACTCATCTCAAGCAAAAAGGACATTACAACCTCCGGTGATGAAGCCATATTTGGTTGTACTGCAAATTCAGCATAAGATTTGTACCCCATTATCTGCATACATCTACAAGAAAGCAAATTAATGGCTCACTATGTCATATAGAAAAAAGTACATTATAACTTATATGTATCACTTCATGAAGAATGATAGTCTTGATATTGTGGTGAATTCTCTTTCATATATAAAGAAATATTGAACAAAACAGAAATGTCTAGAATTTCTTCTATCAATGGTTAAATCGTGCTTCTCTTAATGCTTGGGATTTAGTTCTCTGAGTTTGAAAGCAAAGGACCTCAAGCATATATGCATAATATGTGAGTTGGAACTTTGAAAGTGGTAAGCAAATGCATGCAATCATGTAAAGCAATGAAAAAATTCAGTGTCTCCAGTGTGAAAAAATTCCCCCTAGGATAAGTGATTATATTTTGTACAAATTAATGAACTTTGAGCAGGTGTGAGGGTATAAAATTTGCATACATCCAGTGTGCAAGATTTGTGCCCCCTTTGCCACCTTTTTCATTCAAACAAATTACCATCTCATAGACATAGATATAGATATATATGTGTAAACACACCATCCATACAGCCTTACTGTGGATCCATCTTCCAAAAGAGATAAAGGCCTCGTTTGGGAAGTTGGCTATTTTAGTTTTTGACTATTTTAGTAGGCTAAAATATTTGTGTTTGGGAAGATGGATGGATTTTTTTGTAGTTGGATGTGATGTTTGTGAGAAAAAAAGTGATATGATTATGGGTTTGATGTGACATTTTGTCTTATTGGCTATTTTAGCCTATTTTGTCTTTTTGTGAATTTTAGCCCAAAAAGCAAAAAAAAGCCTTCGCCAAACAAGGCCAAAAGTTAATTAAGGGCAAGTTTGGGAACAACCTATTTTAGCCAAAAAGTCACTACCAAAAAGTCGAACTCTTCTCTCCACTTTTTTCCACGTCTTTTGGTAAAAAGTCAACTAAAATAGCTAATTCTCAAAACAACCCTAAGTATATATCTTATGGCAGATGCCAAGGATTTCAACATGGGTTTAGAATGACTTCTTATGGGATATCACATCATTTTGAAGATACTTAAACCCTTCAACTACAAGGTCAAACTCAAACATTCAACATGTGAAGTGTAGAAACATATTCACCAAATATATATCACATAAAACCATCCTGATATAGAATTAGAAGACATATTGCATGAGTATAGTTTATCCTGAAGTTTATAAGACAATAAATATGGACTTAATTAACCTGAGCAGTCTCATGACGAGAAGCAACAAGCTTATCAAGAACACCAAGGTTTGCAGAAGGGACAGAGTTTCCTTGGACATATGCCATCTTCCTCACCTGCATGAGATTCAAAACATGGATAGATAAATAAAATTTGCTTGACTAAATTGCAAAAGAAAATATGGAAACAATGAGAACAACTTCAAATTAAATTCTAAACTCTTGAATAAAATCAATATGCCTCAACTAATTGAATACATCTAAAATGATTCGGTGAATTCATCCACACGATATAGCAGTTAAATGCCAATTGAATTTTTCAGTGGTTCTTCAAAGAATCCACAATATATTATCCACCAACAGCTCCACTTAACTCTCAGTTGCTCAGTTCATGGAATTGCAGAGTCCAGGCTTTGCTAATGTAGTGATGACTAGTTTCATTAAAAAATAAAAATAAAAATAATCAAAAAGAGAGCTAATAAAGCTACCTCAGAATCTGATGCCCACTGTAGAACAGAGGACAAATTACTTGGCTCCGTTAGTATCCGGAATCCTTTTTCCTTCATGTTAGCACCTCTTGAATTTAATGATTCCCTAGATGCACTGGGTGTGGAACGATAAATTGGCTTAACAAGATGGTGCAACTGTTTTGGGATACGTGATGCCGGAAATATATCCACATAACCTGGGTCAGTGATAATATTTTCATTGAACCTGACCAAAAACAGATACAAAATAATCGCACAATTAGCCAGCTACGAAATCTTTGTTATGTTAAATAATTAAAAGATATTCACTTCACCATAGAATGGAAGAAGAATATCACTTTAACAAAATGAAGGGCAATAAAACGATAAGAACTATAGCATAAAGAAAAAAGAAAGTCACTTTAAAATCCATATTATATAAAATAAAAATAATGATGCAAATGATCAAAATGTTTAGTAATGAAGCAGTTTAACAAGAATTCTTGTGTCAATGCAAATGATATTGTTTTTGGCAAGTATGTCAACTCAAATTATATTTCCAGATCACCATTGAATATACTGATGTGCAAGATAAACAAAAAAGACAAATATCTAAATAATAATATAAAATAAAATAAACAAATAAAATCTCACAAGTTTAGAATGGTCAAACCATCACATAAATCACAAAACCCATATAAAGTTTAATTTCTAGAGCATATATTAGATTATGGATGCATTCTCGCCTGTTGCAATAGCACAATATTCATAGGGAACATCAACAAAATAAAAGTCAACTGATCAAAATAATACTCAAACAAATAAAGATACAATTTACTTACTCCCTACACAATTGACCAATGTCTATGTTTAGAAGATTAACTCGATCCAGTTTGTCTGTAAGGTAGAAAAGCAATGTTTGTTTAGTTATTGGAAGAGAAACATGTCAGAGCTAAAGCTATAGGATGAAAAGACAAGTACCAGTACTGAGATGAATTCCACCCTTCTCAAAGTCAATGCGAAGTGAATGGGCTGCTCTTTGAGCTTCTTTACTAAGAAAAATACCATCTTTGTCTGCCTTTATCACCGCATTATATAGTGTATGGTTTGTATTAAGATACTGCACGATAGTAACCAAAAGTAACAAAGTATTGTCAAAAGTACATGCATTTAAAACATATTATATACATGACGGGAGATCATTTTATCAACTATACTTAAAAAAGTGATTCTAAAATTTCTTAAGAATTGTTAGGTATGCTAGTGGTTAACAATTAAGTAAATGTTTGAAGGGGGTTCATATTTCATGATTCTACAAAATTGTGTCAATGGAAATAAAAAAGCTACAAAAATTCAATCAAGCGCTCTTGGGAAATTGATTTAAAGATTTGCTTATGAAAGAGAAAGACAAAAGAGGAAGTTGTTTGTATCTATATATGGCACAATCTAGAGTCACTGATTTCCTCTCAGTTTTAATAACACATGAAAGGGGTCTTTCAAAGGGCATTAAAAAATATTTCAATCATCACATTAGCCTGATTGTAGAGGAATGAGAAGGGTCCATTTTGGCATCATACATAGTGTGGGGAAGCAGTGGCAAACCACTTTGAGAAATCACTTCTTATTCTAAAATTTTTGAAAATGTTTTCAATTTTTCCCCTCTAAAACTATATATGCCCTTTAAATTTTTTCCATTCTTCTTCCAACAAACTCAACTAGCCATTAACTTCTTTTTTTTTTGATAAATAACACGCCATTAACTAGAACATGGACATAAATTGACTCGTTATTTAATTCACAAATAACTTTAAGAAAGCATTTCTTTTTATTATTTACATTTTATAGATATTTCTTATTTTTATTTTCATTTCATATTACTTGAATGTTAAGATGGTTTTATTGTAGGGACATGTATGATATTGGAATAGTTTTGAAATATTGATAATTGATTTTTTCACCAAACAAAACTTGTGTTCCAAAACACAATAATTCATCTTAATATTTGGCTGCTCTCAACTAAATTCCTAGCTCCACCACTGTGGGGGATGATTACTAGAGAAGATGTTTTCGGATCTTTTTGGGATTTTACAATTAAAACTACGGAGTTGTTGACTATCTTTGTATTTAGGGGAGTCACGTATTGAAATTGTTAAGCATATATGTATTTGATATTATTATTTATTATTAAGGGTAGTTTCTTTGGTAATTTTAGGGTTTGCTTAGCTTAGATAGATATATTATATATACATATATATACATCTCCTTTGTCAACTAAATTCCTAGCTCCGCCACTGTGGGGGATGATTACTAGAGAAGATGTTTCGGATCTTTTTGGGATTTTACAATTAAAACTACGGAGTTGTTGACTATCTTTGTATTTAGGGGAGTCACATATTGAAATTGTTAAGCATATATGTATTAGATATTATTATTTATTATTAAGGGTAGTTTCTTTGGTAATTTTAGGGTTTGCTTAGCTTAGATAGATATATTATATATACATATATATACATCTCCTTTGTATCCTTTATTTTTCTAATGCTCAATAAACAATCGTTAGTTTCTTCTAAACTTGTTTATCATGGTATCAGAGCAAAGGGTTAAGCTTCAACCTTAACTATTGATTGTTCATGCCTAATGATTGTCATTTTGCTGCTGGTGCTCGTTGGATTGGTCTCAGGTTGCTGAAATCTTTCAGCAAAATTGTTTATGACCTTCATATCTCTCTCCCTTCTCCTTCGTAATTGTTGGGTTACCCATTGACTTTTCTCTTCTTCGATTGGCCCGTGGTCCTATTTGCTTTGCACCCACGACTGCCACAGTGCCCCATGATTGCTGGATTGCCTCTGGGTGTCTTCGAAACAACCTCTGGTTGCTGAAATAGCCTCTGCTGCTTCATTTGAGGCTTTGTTGCTGGTTCTAGTGCTTTGTCTGCTGTTTTTGTCTCTTTTGAGGGCTTCACACTGTTCGTTTGGCTGCTGTGGTGCTTCATCTACTCTTTGTCCTGGCTATTCTGGTGTTCATTGCCTTCTCTGCCCTGTTTGGTAATCTCTAGTCTGCTGCTGGTTCTATTTCTTTGGCTGGCGGGTTTTCTTGTGTCTTTCTTCATCATGACCGGTGGTAGCTCTGATTCTCTCCAAGCTATTAGTGTTAAGTTAGTAGTTGATAATTATAACTACTGGGCATACATTATGAAGAATTTTCTTCTTGGTAAAAATGTTTGGACCTATGTTAGTGGTGATTCCTCCATACCAACTGATGTTAAACTTGAAAACTTCAATGAACTCCTCTCTACATGGCAAGTCACTAATGCAAAGGTCATTACTTGGATCAACAATTCTGTGGATCAATCGATTGGTATTCATTTTGCAAAGTTTACTACAGCCAAAGAAATTTGGGATCATCTCTCTCGTCTCTATGTTCAATCCAATTTTGCAAAACGATATCAGTTAGAACATGAAATTCGAGCTACTTCTCAAGGTGATAAGAGTATCCAACAATTTTATTCTGTTATGACTATGTTATGGGATCAGTTGGCCTTTATGAAGCCTAAGGCCTTGAGTACTCATATAGAATATTGTACCTATCATAACGAGCAACGTTTGGTTCAATTTCTTATTGCACTTAGAGTTGTTTTTGAGGGACAGCGTGGTACCATTCTTCATCGCAGTCCTCTTCCCACTGTTGATTCTATTGTGAATGAATCTTAGTTGCACGAAGCGGGAGCGGGAGCGGGAGCGGGAGCGTGGAATCGTAGACATTTCAAGAATCGTTAGTTGGGAGCTTTTGTATATATTTTAAATAATATATAAAAATATATTGTAAGATTATATTTTTTTATGGGACTATACATGTTATAAATAAATAAGAATTATAAAAAATTATATGTTAAAATATTCTAATTATATACTTTTATTAGAATTTTTTTAATTTATTCTAAAATATTTTTATTACTTTTTTATTTATTTATTCTAAAATATTTTTGTTAAAAATTATTTGTTTTATGTTATTTTCTTAAAAAAATAGCATAATAACATTAATTCAATAAATATAATATATAAATAAATACACATAAATTTATAAAGATAATATATAATATATAAATTAAAACAGATATATATATATATATAATTTATAAAAGTTATATATAATATATAAATAAAAACATATATTTATAAAAACAAATATATATACATAATACGTATTATATATATATATATATCTTTAATCTGAGAAGAGAAGATCACAGAGAGAGGAGTCACGTGAAGACCAGCGAAGAGGAGAGAGGAAGAGGGAGATGTCGCGATGACCAGCGAAGAGGAGAGAGAAGTTGCGATGGCCTGTGTGCAACTTGCGAAGACCAGCGAGTAGGAAGGGAGAAGTCTGCGATGGCCTATGTCTTGCAATGGCCAGCGATGGAGCTCCAACTGAGAAGAAGACAGATTCGTGATCAGATTCACGTTTCTTTTGCATCAAAATCGCAATTCTTCAACGAATTTGAGTCAGAAGCACAGAATCGCGCTTCTGAGGAAGAATCGTGAGCAGCATGAATGATTCCTGCTACTAAGGAATGAATTATTAGCTGAAGAAACTTGTTTTAAGAGCATTCCAGGCAAAGGTTTGCTTCCCCTGCTGAGTTGGACGGTTCAAGTTGTCCCTCCTAGTAATTAGAGTTGCTCCTCTGTTCGCACACCGCTGGATGAATATAGTTTTTGTCATCAAAAAGGTCATTGGAAGGCTTAGTGTCTTGGACTTGCTGAACACTCTCATTCTGGTTCATCTTCATCTTGAAAGAAGGGTAATGATCGCTCCTCTGTGTCACCGATGCCTTGGAAAAAGGGTTGAAACTAACATACAGCAGCTACAGTTCCCTCCGTAGAGGATTTTGGCCCTTCATTGACTTCGCTTGCCGAGCAGGTTCATGCCATGTAGAAACTACTCTCTGCAACTACGCCTAATGCTCTTTTGGTCTCTTCCTCTTTAGGTTTGCCTCCCTCTTCTTCTTCAGGTATTTCTCGGTCCACTTGGGTCTTTGACTCAAGTGTTACTCATCATATGGCCAATGTTTCATTATTTACTTCCCTACATAGAAAGAAAAAGAGAAGAAGAAAAAGCAAAATAAAATCGCAAAACTCGTAACCCTAAGGATGGCAAACAGCATCCCAATCCCAAGAGATCAAAAACAAAGAGACTCCGTTAAAAGGAGGAGACACAAATGCCCAAAATAAGGCCAAATATTCCGCCCTATCCCACAAAACCTCTACACTTACTTCCTTGCCTTCAAAGATTCGAGCATTTCTCTCCAACCATACAACCCAGAAAATAGCAAAAATAATGCTTATCCACATTGATTTAGCTTTCTTAGTACTCCCAAACCCGTCAAACCTAATAAGAAGCATATGCATACACTCCCGTGAAGCAACCCGCTGCACATCACATAAACTAAAAAGACGCTGCCATAATACAGAAGCCACCGGGCAATGAAGAAAAAGGTGATCCGCTACCTCCAAATTTCTCTTACACATCACACACCATTGAGGGCATAGAGAGTGATTAGGCCTTCTCCTTTGGAGAACATCATTAATTATAACACCCTTTTGAGCCAAAGACCACATGAAAAACTTCACTTTATGAGGGACACCCGCTTTCCAAACTCTCTTATAAAAAGGGAACAAGGGAACCGAGCGTTTATCAATAATCTTATCAAAAAAGGATTTACATGAAAAGACCCATGAAGAAACAAGATTCCACACCCTACTATCATAAGACGAACAAGTGCTACTCATCAAATGGCAAATGATTCCTCCTTATACTTCCATTTTTTTTTTCTTTTTCCACTCCTACTGTTATGACTGCTAATGGCACTCCCATGCCATTAGCAGGTGTTGGTTCTATTTTGACTGATTATCTCTCTCTTTCTGATATCTATTGCATTCCACAATTGACTTTAAATCTCATTTATGTTAGCCAACTTTGTGAGCTTGGTTATCATGCTCACTTTTCTTCTTCTGATTGTGTTGTGCAAGATCCTTATTCCGGATAGCGGATTGGGACAGCCCGTAAGTTGGGTGGGTTATATGTTCTTGAGCAGTTTCATGTTTCCATCACTCACTATAGCTTCCACTGATTTGTCCTCTTTTCGTCTTAGCTCGCAGTCCTCTGAGTTTTATTTATGGCATTCTCGCCTTGGTCACATTTCTAGCTTTCGTTTACAATATTTAGTCTCGACTAGTGTTTTGAGAAATTGTAGTACTCGTAATATTTCAGATTGTAGTGGTTGCAAACTTGCAAAATGTACTGCTTTACCCTTTAATAAAAGTATTATAATTTATTTTGCTCCTTTTGATCTTTTGTACATTCTGATGTGTGGGGTCCTGTTCCTATTCAAGCGCCTCGTGCTTGGTTTGAAAAATTTGCTACTATTGTATCCGCTTTGGGTTTTCACACTAGTGATCATGATTCAGCTCTCTTTCTTTGGTCTACCTCTGCTGGTCGGATTATTCTTCTCTTGTATGTTGATAACATGATCATCACTGGTGATGATCTTGATGGCATTTATGCTCTCAAAGGTCACCTCAGTCGTCATTTTGAGATGAAGGATCTTGGTCCTCTTTGGTATTTCTTAGGCACTGAGGTGGCTTCTTCTTCTAAAGGCTATCTTCTCTCTCAGTCCAAATATGCCTTAGAGGTCATTCAACGTGTTATGTTGATTGAAACTCGCACTGTTGACACTCCACTTGAGCTTAATGTGCATTATACTTCGACTGATGGGGTTCCTCTGTTTGATCCTACTTTGTATCGTGTTCTTGTTAGCAGCCTTGTTTATCTTACTGTTACTCATCCTGCTATGCTGTCCATATTGTTAGTCAGATTGTTGCCTCTTCTACTACGGTTCATTGGGTTATGGTTCTTCATATTTTGCGGTATCTTCATGGGTCTCTGCATCAAAGTTTGTTTTTCTCCTCTACTGTTATCGGATCTTTGTGCCTATTCTAATGCTGATTAGGCTGGTGATGCTATGGATCGTAAGTCCATTACTAGTGTTTGTGTGTTTTTGGGTACTTTCCTTATCTCTTAGAAGATTAAGAAGCAAACAATTGTTTCTTGTTCTTTTGCTGTGGTTGAGTACCCGTACTATGGTTACTACTAATTGTTTGGTTGCGATGGCTACTTGCTGATTTTGGCATTTCACCTTCTGCTTCTACTTCTGCTTCTGCTCCTACTCCTATGTATTGTGATAATCAAAGTGCCATCCAAATTGCTCATAACTTTGTCTTCCATGGGAAGACTAAGCATATTGAGATTGATTGTCATTTTGTGCGTCATCATCTTCAGCTTCCTACTTTGTCCTTACCGTTTGTGCCATCTACTATGCAATTGGCTGACTTCTTCACGAAATGTCATACGACTTTGTGCTTTTATTTTTTTCTTGACAAACTCTCGATACTTCCTACTATCACATCATGAGTTTGATGGAGGTGTTAAGCATATATGTATTTGACATTATTATTTATTATTAAGGGTAGTTTAGTCTTGGGAACTTTTAGGGTTTGCTTAGCTTAGATATATATATATATCTCCTTTGTATCCTTTATTTTTGTAATGCTCAATAAACAATCGTTAGTTTCTTCCAAACTTGTTTTATCATAAATATGTCCTTTAGGCTAATTTTGCATGATATTGAGTTTAAGCAATTAGTGGATCTCTTGAAGTTAAATCTTTGCACATACATGGGTCCACTTGCCAATGAGGTAAGCCATGTAGGCACCACTTCATCACCACATTACCAATCCATGTGTTTGGTCCCATATGTGTCACTCTTAAAGTGGCAACCAGACCAATGGTACGCTGCCACATGCCTTGGCAAACTTCTCTTCTCTCCTTGTGTAGCTATACCAACTTAGGCAAACACATGTAGTGCCCTAGCCAAGGCTAGGTACTCAGAGGGACATTCTCCAAGAAGCACACCAGCCTAGATGTGCTTGGTCCGTTCCTTAACTAGGTCTGGCAATCCTCCACCCAAGTGCATCTTCATTCTGCTTAGGCTGCCCGTCAGCTGGGTTGAGCAACTCTCTGCCTGCCCAATCAGGTATCTCCATTGCCTCACAATCTCTTTTACCTCCACTGCCACCATGAACCTACAAAAGCTAATGAATGTTCTTCTAATTTATAAAGTAGTAGACCTATGTCAATGTCTTCTATTGATTCTCCAACTCATAAGCATGATCGTCGCTCTAGAATTTTTATAAAAAAAGAAATGATCATAAGGAAATTGGTGTTAATTCTGTGTAGCGTGACACTCAATTGTATAAGCAAATCTATGAATATAAGCAACACGACAAAATTTAAGGGCTTCTATCAAAGTAGATCTGTACAAACCACTTATTTCTGAGTACCGAGCTTCTAGACCAACTAATTTCAACCTTCACGGTTTAAAGTGTTTCCTTGGTTAGAGTATTTTTCTGCTAAACATACTGGTTTTTGTTTTCCATGCTGTTTTTTTAATTAAAGGGCATAGTATACATCAACATTTGAAAGATTCATTTCTGTTGGTAACAAGATACTTTCTTATGTTCCTTGTTACAAATATTAAAGATTTACCTTAATTATGGTTTTTTTTTTTTTTTTTTGATAAATACCTTAACTATGGTTCTTATTCAAATTCCTAGGATTTCATTCCTAAAATTTAGTTTTATAAACATATACAGACAAAATAATCAAAATAGCATGTCCTTATTGCAAGCACACACGCACTTTCAGAAATCAAATACACTGTCACTGATGAAGAAAAACACAAAATCCAAAAAAATCATCGGTCACCTCACATGTAGATATTCATTGATTCTCATTGCCGCCTTGTTGGCCTCCACAACAAATTCCCTGCAATACAAAAACATTCCTTTAAGCACTAGTAACTAGAAGCAACAACAACAAACACAAAGGCAACGAAAACCTGTCAGGGTGAGTATGTCTACATAGTTCAGCAGAGTCCACAACTGAACAGACCTATCAAATCAAATAATGCAATTACCACATGCACTCAAAAATCACAAATACACACATGTATGTAGAGAGAGAGAGAGAGAGAGAGAGTCCATGATTTCTAAACGTACTGTGTCTGATATTTCATCCATGGCTCGGATAATTTCTGCAGGTGATGGCATTCCAGAAATGTAATTGACGAGTTCACCGGACCTAACCAAAGAAACAATTAAAAGAATCAGTGTCCGTATTCAATAAGAAAAACTTCGAATGGTTGCTGAGAAAACAAGAGCCATTTTTGAGCTTGTGGTCAGTTAAAAATCAAATATTTTCCTTTTACTTTCTATCATTTTCTGAGAAAACAAACGGAGTAGAACCAGGGGGGGTGTTTGGTTTACCGCTCGATGGCTTCGTCGACGAAGCGTCGAAAGCCATTGGGGGTCTTCAAGTGGTGGAAACCATAGAGACCGGTGTCCTTAACATGTGGAGCTGTTGAGGTGTGGAAACGGTGGTTGGTCCAAACACGGAAGGGGAGGTTCGAAGTCGATCGGCGTATTAGGGCCGACATGGCTCGCCGATTGGGGTTGGCGGTGCTGCTATGAAACTTGAGTTGAGACTCTAGTGTGACGACGGGTCGCAGACAAAAAAATGAGATTGTGACTGGCGAAATGGGCTGAACGAATCGGGTCGTTAACTAGGGTTTGGGATGGCTCTTCTAAATCAACCCCAAAATTTATTTTTCTAGAAGTTAAATTTATTTGGTAAATTAGAAAAATCATCTTAGACAAAAGTGATGAGAAAATTTTTTATCATCTTTGACAAAAGTGATGAGAAAATTTTTTTGAAGGTGCCAAACAGTAGGGGTGAGCATGGTCCGGATTGGATCGGATTGGAATAAAATCAGGATCAATCCGTTATCTACGATTCTTAAAAAATTAGAACCAATCCAATCCATTTAAATCATGGAACCAATTCGAACCAATCCATTTAAATACGGATTTGATCGGTTTAGGATCACGGATTCACATAATTAAATAACAAAAATATATTTATAACACTTTAATTTTATAAAAATATAAATATAGCGTTATATTAATTCCACAATAGCAACATATTTTTCTATAATAGCGACATACTGTTCTAAAATTTAAACAACCATAAGAAAATTTGGTTTCACTATAAGTATTTAAACCATTACAAATTAAAACTAAAACCCAACAAACAAGAGTAATAAAAGAAAATATTATACGGTTTTAGGTTTGAATTTAGATTTTATATAGAATTAAGAGAAGATACTATGGGGTAGGATGTATAATAAAAATATAGACTATTTGTATACGGTTCGAATCGGTTCCGGAACCGTGGGGTTCAATCCGGAAGCAATCCGTAGATTACGGATTTTTAATTCTTCAATCCGGAACCAAACCGCGGATTCAAAAAACCAATCCAAACCTATTGAATTGGACTGAACTAGATCAGATTACGAATTTCACGGATCACTTGCTCAGCCCTACCAAACAAATTAATTTTTTTTACGCATTAACTTTTATAATTTAATTTCTAACCAATAAATAATAATTTTGTAAACTCTTATTATTATTTCAAAGTTACTATCTTGTATTCAATCTCTTCACTCTTTTCACTCATTTATCTAGGGGTGTTTGGGAAGAGGATTTATTTTTTTTTTTGGTTAAAATAGTATTAAAAAACAAAATAGGCTAAAATAATTAATAAGATAAAATGTCACATCAAATCTATAATCATTTCATTTTTTCTCTTACAAACATTATATCTAGTTACAAAAAAATTCAACTCTCTTTCCAAACACAACTATTTTAACCAGACTAAAACAATCAACTATTAAAATAGCCAACTTCCCAAATGTCTCTTATTGTCTGTCACCCACTACTACCACCACCATTGATCACCTACTACCCTTCATCATCTTCTCTCATCACCTCGCCACCAACCATTTCCTCTTCATTACCATCTTTTTATCTTATTCCATCACACCCATGTGTCTCTCATTCTATCACCTACATACATTTTCCTTCCTATATGACACTTCTTGCCTCCCTAACTACCCCTTCTCATTGCCCTTTTTGTTCTACAATCCTTTCATTTTGCAACCCTAGTTGTCACATTTAGCCTTCGTTTGAGATATGGGTTGGTTTTGGGTATTTTAGCTTATGGCTAAAAAGCTTTGTTTGGGAGGGGCTTTTAAAATTTTTTGACTTAGAAATGATGTGTCCATAAGCAAAATTATGAAAATGCCCTTTACCCATAGCCTAAAATGCATTTATCAGAGATGAAATGAAAGTAATGAAACTAGGGGTAATTTGGTCATTTCGACTTTGCTTGCAACAACTGCCCAAGCCCGTGAACGAGTTTGTCGATTGTGGCTAAAATAACCAATTTTGTCGTATGTGGCTAAAGTAGCCCAAAGTGGGTATGCCAAACATAGCCTTAAAATCCTAGATTTGGCTACCCCTTAAACCTTAGTTACATACATATCTCTAGCTCATGAACTGAGAATTGGCATTAAGAAACTAGCGTCCAAAAGTGCCCTACATATGTCAAGTTATGAGAAATGACGGCACAAGAAGCTCTTGTGCTCTCAGGCAACGCAACCAATAGTAACAATGGAAAATCATCGGAGGAGAAAGATCATTTGGTGCAAAGCACCAAGAAAGTTAAGGAGAACTCAGAGTTTGATACTAATCTAGCTATAGCAAAATATCAATCACCGCTGGTAGAAGAACCCAAGAGATCCTTTAAGCAAGCTCTAATAACTACAAAAGCAAACGAAAAAGTCTTTGAAGAAGATCTAGATTGCCTTTCGACGAATGACGAATTTCTCACAGATGAAAAGGACAACGAGGAGGTGGATGATGAGGATCTTGCTATGGAACTTGGGATTAATATCCCCAAAATTTAACTCCCGCCCCACCTCCTCAAGTCGATTCGAAAGCCCTAGAAAGGTTGCCTCATTGTGCGATTACTAGGGAAAACTATTGGATACAAATTGCTAATTTTCGAACTCAAGATAATCTGGGGATTGCAAGGAGACTTCAAAGCTACAAATTTGGGCCTAGGTTTTTTTTCTAATTAAATTTGAAATGGTACAAGATTGTAGCAAAGTTTACACAGAGGGTCCTTGGATCATTATAGATCACTATCTACCAGTGAGGAAATGGGAACATGGTTTCAAACCCTCACAAGCAGGGGAAGTGGCCACAGCCCTCTGAGTGCGATTTCCCCAACTACCAATTGAATACTATAATGAAAGAGTGCTCTATCACATAGCTAAAGTGATAGGTAAGCATCTGAAAGTGGATTAAAATATTGCCATATCCGCTAGAGAAAGATATGCTTGTGTCTGTGTTGAGATGAATCTCACAAAGCCACTTACATCCAGAATTGCTATAAGTATACCTATTGTATAGAATATGAACACATTCATTGTTTTTGTTTTGCATGTGGGAAAGCGGGCCATAGAAAATAATACTATTCCAACAAACCACTGCCGGCAGCAGCTCCAACTCTAGCGTCGACAACCCCACGACATGACCAGCAACAACGGCTCTATTGCTCAGAAAACCCAGCCAACAACAGCTAGTTCTTTAAATGCTAATACAAACAATGAGATACGCTAGGAAGTTACTGACTATTGTCCTGTTAAAACAGCTTATAGATTATACATTATAGATTATAGATGATGACTTTAATCAAAAGTTGTTAATTTGTTTGATGTAACTGTTGGATTATAGATTTAAGTTGCTGAGTAGTGTTTGTTAAATAAGCTGTGAAATAGCTTTTTCAATTAATTTTTATTTTTTGTTTGTCTACATTTCTCATAAAAAATAATAATAATAATCTATAGTCCATTTGAGTCTTTTTCTATTTTTAAAAAAATAAAAAATTTAAGAGTATAACCATAAATTAACATGTCCACAGCAGAAGCTGATAATCAGAAGCAAGGGGTGAACAGCTTCTTAGAATCAGCTTTTTTGAGTTAAAATAAACTGTTAGAATCAGAAGCTGTTTGAAATAAGTTTAACCAAACAGTCCAAAATAACTTTTTCAAAACTAAAAGCCATAAGTTAACTCTGAAAAACTGAAACAAACACCCCCTATAATCCGTGGATGTTAGTCAATAAAAGAAACCATAGACCTAACATTACTCCTCTTTTGAGGCCCAACAATTTTAAAAAACCCAATAACAGAATTGGGCCACTCAAAGATCAAGCCAATGCATCATTTGAAGAGCCTCATACCTATCTAGAAAAAGCCATAGATAAACACAAAATGCTAGAAAATCACAATCTCTCTATAGGCCCAGTTCATAAAAGAGCTGTAGCGAATGAGATTGACTCTACTGTCTATACTGATCCAAAGCTAATGTTGCCTACCTCAATTGTTCTTTTTCCCCATGACCCTATGACATCCATAGCTTTACCTTCTACCTCTGTACCTAATGCAATAGAGATACTCAATGAGATTCCAGATGCACTGATGGCTGAGGTAGGAACATCAATACCTATCACAACCTTCTCACTTAACCCTATTGCTTCTCTTATATCCCTCACTAGCAACTCTAATCCCACTACCTCAAGCAAAGACAACATACATATCAAACACAAATCTTTTAAGAGCATTTCCAACGGTGAACTTCTTTTTTTACTAAACTTCAGTAAAAAATGACTCATTTTCTAAATTTGATATTAGTTGCTCCAACAGTGCATCAAAATTCCGTGGGTCAACCGGCTGGTCGACCGGTAAAGCCATTTTTTATTTTTATTTTTTACCTTTTTGAACTGTTTGAACCTACATATTTGAACTATTTGAACCAGTTCGCAGGCCAATGTTTGCATGTACTGGTTGACCGGTTGGTCCACCGGGTGGTCAACCAAGGGATCGACCAAGTGGTCATCCAGGTGGTCAACCACCATGTGTAAAATTCTCAAACTTTTCTGCTTTAACGGTCAGGAACAGTAATTTGGTAAAATCAGTACCTTGTTCTCAGTTTGATGATTTTTTTGTTGAATTCTCATTTTGATATCAATTTGGTAAAACAGTTGGAGCACCAAAAAGTATTTTTTTACCAAAATTTGAATCTGATGCCAAGTTTGGTTCACCGTTGGAGATGGTCTAACCCCAAGTATGGATGAAAACCCCATGGCCCAAACCATGGAAATTCCAGAAGTCCAACTAGAAAAATTGACAAACAATGCGGTGGGTTCATTTCTAGAACTCGAGAGAAAAGCAATTCACCAAGTTAGCATAGAGTAGTGGATAAAAGAGATACAGCCCCGTTTGTTTTGGGGCATGAGAGGGGGATTAGGATTAGAATAGTCGTGGCTCCATTTAATGCGCTATTTGTTTACAGAGTTGAGAAAGGGACTGCTAAGCCGAAAGGCTTAGAAAAGGCCTTGCAGATGGGATTCAGATGGGCCTCCAAGACTTGGTATTAGAAAAATAGTCTAGCGGATTAGAAATTTTTTATTTTATTTTTTACATGTCGAGCATTTTTTTTTTTTTGAACATTAATTTTAATTTTTTGTATTTTTTATTAAGTAAAAATCATTATTTTGTTTATTTTATTTTTTTCTGAAAATTTTTTATTTTATTTTTATTTTTTAAATTTTTTTTACATGTTGGGCATTTTTTTTAAAACATTAATGTTTAATGTTTTTGTATTTTTTTATTTGTTTTATTATTTTATATTTATTTTTTATAAAAATAATTTAACAATTCCTACATTAACAACTATCATCAAAACAAACACAATTTTACTTAATCCTCTCACTAACAATCCCCTCACTATTAATCCCCTCCATTCTACCTCTGAAAACAAACGGGGCCTAAGGGTGAATATAAAGTCTCGCTAACAGAGTGTAGGAGAAAGGCCTCTTCAGGCAATCCAAACGGTAGGATTGAGGCCAACGATGCTAAGCCAAAAGATAGTACATGATTTCATTGGTCTATCAGAAGAAGAATAGTTACCATCGTTCCAAAATCGATCGTCTATGGATATCATGTTGTGGAATTGTTGGGGGCGTCGACAACAAAATCTTTAAGAGGAATTTCAGGAAGCTGGTCTGAAGCCATTGTCCTAATGTAGTTGCCCTATTCGAAACTAAGGTAACATTCAGTTCCGTGGGTTTGTTTTTTAACAACTTGGACGTCATAACTTATACTATAGTAGACCCAATCGGTAGGGTTGGAGGTGTTTGGCTACTATAGAAAAAAACTCATGTATCTGTAGTACTTATGTAGCCAATCACCAAGTTATTCAAGCTACTATTAAGTGGAAATTTTTAAAGAACGGGTCATATCGGTAGTTTATGCTAGTCCTAATGCTACTTCCACCAAAATATGTAGAATGGCCTAGAAGGCACAACTCAATCTATGCAACACTCTTGGTTAGTTGTAGGTGATTTTAATGATGTAGGAGGGCAAAAGGATTGTAGAAGTTTCTCCGATAATAGTCAACAAGGAAGACAACGCCATTACACAACGGAGCGCCTAGATCAAGCCCTCTGCAACACAGAATGGAGGACTACCTTTCTAGAAGGAATGGTCAAGAACTTACCTTGCACCTATTCAGAACACTCGTCTCTTATTGTTTACATCGAAGGTATGTCTAAACTCTCTCCTTGTAATCAACCTTTTTGCTTTGAGGCTGCATGGCTTTCACATGATCAATATAAAGATGTTGTTTCTAGTTCTTGGAATTCTAATTATTTGAATCAAGATCTTAGCCTTGTTGCCTTCAATTCCATTACCTGGAATAAAGAGGTGTTTGGTAATATTTGTAAAAGGAAAAGACTCCTCCTTACTCGTATTAAAGGAATACAAAAATCTCAAGCTTTTTCCTTCTCCCACAACCTCTGTGTTCTAGAAAAAGACCTTATTAGCCAATATAATAAAACTCTTTTGCAAGAAGAAATTCTTTGGTTTTAAAAATCTAGGGCCAAATGGATCACTCAAGGGGAGAGGAACGCAAAAAAATTTCACAGCACCACTGTTATTCGTAGGAAAAAACTAAAAAATGATTCCCTCAAGAATGAGCAAGGTGATTGGCTTATAGACTCTATTTTGGTTTAAAATCACATTCATAATTATTTTTGCAATCTTTTTAAAGTTGAACTTTCTTATCTTGATCATTGGTTTTATATTGCTCGTAATAAAATATCTAATAATGAGAATTCCATGCTGTTGAGGGCTGTTATGAACTTTGAAATTCTTGAAGTTGTCAAAAGTATTAGTGCTTTTAAAGCACTAGACAGGGATGGTTTTCAAGCTGTGTTCTATCATAAGTTCTGGGATATAGTGGGTGATAAGGTCTGCAAGTTCATTAAGAATTGTTATCAGGAGAAAAACATTCCACCAGAGATTAATAGAACTCTCATTGCTCTAATCCCAAAATGTGAAATCCCTGAAAATATAAAATAGTTCCGTCCCATCAGTTTATGCAATGTTTCCTACAAGATTCTATCGAAAATTTTGGTGGCTAGAATTTGACCCCTTTTCAACAGTTTGATTAGCCAAAATCAAAGAAACTTCATTCTGGGGAGAACTACATATGATAATATCATTATAACCTAGGAAGTGTAACACACCTAGTAAGTCAGGAGGTATGATTTTAAAGCTTGATTTAGAGAAAGCCTACAACAGGATCTCTTGGGATTTCCTTAGGGAAATTGTTATTGAATTGGGAAAATTACATTTACCTCCCCTGAGGTTTCTGACAAATACAGGGACCTCCCCTGTGGTTTGAATAATTACAGTAACACCCCCTACTTTACCTGACATTGTCAAGTTTCCCCCAAAAGTTGACAGCCGTTTAAACCCCTAACAGACCCTGCCTATGTCATCAAATGTAAACAATAAAATGCCCATAATACCCTCAACCCATCTATATATAGCAAATGGTCTCTCCAGCTTCACTTCAGTAAATCCAAGTGGAAGAGAAAAATTTAGAGAGGCAACCAAAACTAAAGAACAACAAAAAGAAGAAAGGGCCAAGCACAAACACAGGTATGTTCCCAGTCACAATAACTATTTAAAAAAAAAATATGTCCCATGAATATATGTCCTGAAAATGCATTATAACTATGATCCATTATTGAGAAATGAAGCACAAACACAAGTATGTCCCATGAATATATGTCCTGAAAATGCATTATAACTATGATCCATTATTGAGAAATGAAGCACAAACACAAGTATGTCCCATGAATATATGTCCTGAAAATGCATTATAACTATGATCCATTATTGAGAAATGAAGCACAAACACAAGTATGTCCCATGAATATATGTCCTGAAAATGCATTATAACTACGATCCATTATTGAGAAATGAAACACAAACACAGGTATGTCCCATCAATATATGTCCTGAAAATGCATTAAAACTCTCACATTTCATGAATGTAGGTTCACTGGATGGATATATCATCATCAAGTAATGGAGGAGGGGTGATGAAATGTAGAAGCAAGATCTGTTACTGTGAGAGCAAAGCAACAATTAAAGTCACTGAATCTGAAAAAAACAAAGGCAAATTGTATTACTTATGCCCAAATGGGAAATGTGGATTCCGGGAGTAGTGCAAACCAGTAAACTCATCTATTGGAGGAGAAATGATGATGGAAGACACTCAAACAACTGTTAACAGACACACTTTATCCTATAAAGAAGAAAGTCCTGCAACGAATTTAATGAACCAAATGGGGGCTATGCAAACAAGGATGCAAGTACTTGAAGCAAACATGGGGTTTATAAAGATGATAATGATCATGAATTTTGTGATGTGTTTGATTTCCCTAATGGTTGCTCTAAAAATGTAATGGTAATGATTCACCTACTGTTTTGTAATGGCCCTGTAATACTGTTTTGTAATGGCCCTGTAATGGCCCTTTTGTAATGGCCCTTATGTAAGGTTTTGTAATATTTGGTAATAGACCTTATGATTGTAATGCAATATGTTTTGTAATGGACCATATATAAATATGATGAAGTTATTTCAGCATTATGTAAATATGCACATCTCATTTGAATAACATAATGACCTGTAAACATAATCTAAACAACAAGTAAAACTATTCCATAAATATGCACCTGTTTAATTACATCATGATTGTTGTAAAATATGTTCAAGTAGTTTACTTACATCATTCCTATCAGATATGTTCAGTTACATCATCAGTTATAAAATACTTCATGGCCACTACAAAAAAACAAAAATGGCCACATCATCATATTGCTATTCTTAGCATTGCATGTCCACTACAAAAATACAAAAAAGTGGAACATGATCCTCACTAACTATACAGTCAAGCAACATATATTTTATACCTTCAACCTATGTTAATCCTTGTACCCAAAATATCAACAACTTAGCTAAGTCATCTGCAAAAAAAGTCAAACAAACAAACAAACAAATAAATTGATGTTGTCTGACCTGTGTCACAAACAAACAAATATCAACAACTTAGCTAATTTCATTGTAACTTCATAAGTAAGTTCATAACTAACATGATGTTGTGTGACCTGTGTCACACATTCAGCAGGCATTGGGGGGGTCCCTCTTGGAATATCCTAAATTGAAAACCAAAGTAAGGTAATAAATATGCATATCAATATCATAAATTGATAGAAAACAAATAAAAATCACAAATGAAAAGGCAAAACAAATACAAAAAACTCACTTGTGCATGGTTGGCCTTGCCCTTGCCTCTCCCACTTGAACTTCCCTTCCCAACTGAACTTCCTCTTATAGTTGTATTTCCCCTCCCAGCTGAACTGTCCCTCCCACTTGAGTTGCCTCTACCACTTGCATTGCCCCTCTTAGCTGAACTACCTCTCCCACTTGAATTGTCTCTACCTCTGCCCCTACTCACAAATCTGCCACTGCCCCTACCAGCAGTTTTGGCACTGCCTCTACCACTGGATGTGCCATCAGTTTTGCCACTGCCTCTACCACTGGATGTGCCATCAGTTTTGCCACTGCCTCTACCACTGGATGTGCCATCAGTTTTGCCACTGCCTCTACCACTGGATGTGCCATCAGTTTTGCCACTGCCTCTACCACTGGATGTGCCATCAGTTTTGCCACTGCCTCTACCACTGGATGTGCCACAATGTGATTAACCCCCTCATTATCCTTCACCTCATACTCATTGCCTCCTGCATACTCCACTGTGCAAGTCCTTGACCATTTCTGTGTGACCTCAAGCTGTTTCTTCACATTCAATGTGACATTAGATTTCCATTGCATTGCCTTTTGGTACCTCATCTGAAACTTACCCATCAACTTGCACCTTATGCCCTCTAACATAGTTAAAATTGGCTGAGTTCTCAAATTTCCTAACCAATTGTTGAAGGACTCTGTCATGTTATTTGTGATGTGATCACTTCTAATCCTACCATCAAATGCATGCCTAGACCTTCCTTCAACTGGAACCTTCTGCAACCAAATGCAAGCATCATTGTTCAGGTCCTTAATGGCTTGCATAGCCTTATCATACTCCATCTGATTGTAAGCCCTTGCTGCTCTCCAAAATTGCTTCCTCAAAATTAAACCCGGAAATTTGGCTCTGAAATTGTTATATAGGTGCATGCAACATCTTCTATGAGTTGCCTCCGGTATAATGTCACTCACAATCTTATCAAGGCCCTGCATATAAAAACAATGAAACATTACTAAGCATTACAAGTTTAAAATTAGAGAATCATTTGTAATTATGTAAGTAAAGTAGTTGTTGAATATGTCAGTAAAGTACCTTTTGTTGATCAGACATGATGGTCCATGGTCTAGAAGGTAGTGCATCTTCTATGATTGTTCTCAAGTTGTGCAAGAAAAAAGACCAACTGTCCTTGCATTCACCCTCTACTATTGCCAATGCCAATGGAAACAAGCCATTATTTCCATCCAAGGCAACTGCTGAAATTAAAACACCACCATAGGGACCCTTCAAGTGACACCCATCTACCCCTATGAATGGCCTACATCCATTAATGAACCCTGCTTTCATTGCATCAAATGATATGAACATTCTTTGGAACAATGGATATTGAGGAATGGTAGGGTCTGGTTGTTCTCCATCTTCTGAGACTGGGGTAGAGGGTATGTCATAATTTATGACAACCAAGCTGCCAGGGTTTGTTTTGTTGATTTGACTAGCATATGTTGGCAACAACACATATTGGCTCCCATGATCACCCTCCAGCTCCTCCTTGCACCTCCTTTTGGCTCTATACAGTTGCATTCTTGAAGCCTCAATCCCAAACATTTTATTCAGTTTCATTTGCATGGTATCTAAGCCCATGTGTGGATTGTCCTTAAAACTTTCAACCATTTTTTTAGCAATCCAAGCTGATGTAGCTTCAGTGTTTGTGTTCATCCTGCTACATGTGTGAGTAGGTACTAAGGTTTTAATCTTGTAGGTGATCCCATCTGGAAGTGGAGATGCATGAATTCTCCAAGGGCAGCCCTCAGCAGCACAATGGGCTGTTACTCTAGACTTCTCATTTTTGTCTCTTACTATCTTGAAACCAGTTTGCACTGTATAGTCCCTTAATGTAGCCCTAAAAGTATTCACTTCTGGAAAAATCATCCCTTCTTCCAACACAACTTCTCCATCTTGATTCATATATGGCTCTTTCCCATTGTAGGTACCATCATACTTCATGCCTGGAAACCTCATCTCTTCATCATCTAGACAGTCTGCTTCATCATCATAATCATCATCAGTACTAGAATATGGCACTTCATCATCACCAGATTGGTAATCACTAAGTTCAGCATCATCACTTGAGCACTCATTATCATCATCACTCAAAATCTCATTGGCATCTGATTGGTTTTCATCCTCAGCAGTTGCATTCCAATCCCTATCCTCATCACTAAACCCATAAACATTGTCCTGATGGTACTCTTCATCTACATCTATAGTATGGTAGTCTTGCTCTACATCTACAGCATCTACTCCATGATTTTCATTTCCAACATTACTTTTATGTCCACCATCACTCATTCCAATAGAATATTCTATGTTTACATACAAGTTAATTGTTTTACTCCTTCCTTGCACATAAAACATGTCTAGCACATCAAGATCATTTTCTACTAATCTCCTTCTGTCAGTACCAGGCATATCACAATGCAATGTGATTGCTATTGCTTCACTACAAGAAATGTGAGACAGGACTGTTGCAGTTACATCCTTCAAGGCATCAATGTAGCAATACATATTTGGGTCCACATCAAACACTCTTCCCACTTTTCCTTTGTAGTTGATGATTAAATCAAAATAAGGAAATGCAGCCATACTGTAATCATAATGATGTACCAATTATAAAATAAAATAAGCAAGCCCATACAATGACAATATGCAAACATGAAGAAATCCGTAAATTACACTATAATTATACTAATATTAAACAATCATAAGTAAAACCCAACAAATCAGAAATTCATTCTAAACATACATCTCCTGAATAACACCCAGAAAATCATAAATTCATAAATTTTCAACAAATTCCCTGTATTCGAATCAGAAATTTTGCAAATCAAATAAAAGCCCTCAACATTGCAAATCAAATAAAAGCCCTAAACATACATCTCATAAATAAAATAAAAAAAATCAGAAATTTATATTAAATCCCTACATTACACTATTATTATAGTAATATTCAACAAATTCCTTTTTTCCAGTCAGAAATTTTGCAAATAAAATATAAACTCTAAATATATATTTTCGAAGTAAACCATTTTCACATACATTTCATCAAATCAAACACAGAATACAAACAAATTTATAAGAAAAAAGATGGAAAAAAATATTCGAAAATCATCAACACACATTTTAAAACACTATTCGAAGCTTACAGAGTTCGAAGTCTTACCTGGAAGCCGTAACAGCAACTTCTCACCGATGAAACTCTTTTACATTGTGTACTGGCAACGACGATCGGTTCAAAACCTCAAGCTTTTTCGTCTTCTTCACAATCGACGATCGGTTCACGACGATCGCCTCCCTCTCTCTTTTCTTTCTCTGAACAATTCGATTTGTATTGTGAATGTATTGATTAGGGATTTTGTGAACAAAGGGCTTTTTGGTCTTTTTGCAAGAAAAAGCAAGGGTCACATGGTCATTATCTATTGGATACTAACGTCGTTTGGGCAAAATAGACGGAATGGGGGAAACTTGACAATGTCAGATAAAGTAGGGGGTGTTACTGTAATTATTCAAACCACAGGGGAAGTCCCTGTATTTGTCAGAAACCTCAGGGGAGGTAATTGTAATTTACCCTATTGGAATTTAATCTGAATAGTCATTGGATTGATTTAATCATGGTATGTGTCACTTCGGTTAGCTTCTCTATTTTGTGGAATGGTGAGACATTGGATGACTTCTCTCCAGGCAACGGACTTAGACAAGGTGATCCCTTATCACCTTATCTTTTTGTCCTCTGTATGGAAAGACTTTCCAATATGATCCATTCCAAAGTGGAGAATAAAAACTGGAAAGGGATTAAAGTGTCGAACAGCAGTCCTTCCATCTCACACTTGTTCTTCGTAGATGATATCCTTCTCTTTGCTAAGCTGATTTAGATCATTGTGATATCCTCATGGAAACTATGGAGGAGTTTTGCATTGTTTCGGGCTAGAAAATCAACCTTGTCTTCCCTAATATTAGCAGGAATTTTGCTAAAGATTTAAGCTTCCAATGTGATATTTCCTTGACGCAAGGCTTGGGTAAATATCTTGGTGTTCCTATGGTTCACTCTCGAGCTAATAAGGTTTTATGCAATGGAATTATTGAAAAGAGTGTAAAAGAAACTTTCAAATTGGAAAGCTGATACTCTCTCTTGCAGGTAGAGCAACTGTAATTCAATCTATTTCTTTGGCTATTCCTTCATATAGTATGCTGACAATGAAGCTTCCTCAAAGTGTGTGTAAACATCTTGACAAACTCAATAGGAATTTTTTGTGGGGTGAGCAAGCAAACAAGAAATCCATTCATTTAGTTAATTGGAAGGATGTGTGTCTTAGTAAGACTAAGGGAGGGTTGGGTCTAAGAAAGGCTAAAGACCATAATAATGTGCTTCTTGCCAAATTGGGTTGGAAACTTCTCTGGGATAAAGATTCAGTTTAGACGGAAATGCTCAAAAGTAAATATCTTAAAAAGCAACTTCTTTCTACTTGCAAGTTGAAATCAAAAACTTCTACCATTTCGAAAGGAATTTTCAAGAGCAGAGATATCCTTAAAAAGGGTGTTAAATGGTCCATTGGCAATGGGAAAAATGTGTCTTTTTAGAGGGATTGGTGGTGTGGTGAAGGCCCCTTAATGTACTCATCCTCAGGGCTCCACATTGCTAATGACATTTCGGTGGAATAGGCGATCACTGCAGATGGGAATTGGGATCTTAATCAAGTAGCTGCTTTCATCTCTCCTCAAGACATCCAAAATATTCTCAAAGTCCATATTCATAGGTTTGTTATTGTGAGCGACAACCCCCACTGGAAGAATTCACCCAATGGAAAATTTTCAACTAAAGCTGCTTATGATCTTATTATTGAGCAAGAATATTCGGATACTTCATCTCAATGGGGCTAGACTTGGAAAATTAAAAGTCACAGAAATTGAAGGGTTTTATTTGATTGCTTATGCATGGGAAGATTCTTACCAACTGTAAAGACTCAAAAAAATAAATAAATAAATAAATAAATAAAAATTCAACTTTTATTTTGAGATACTACTCCTGCGAATTTTTAAAGATAGTTTCACAACATGAGATTTTATGAAAGCTTCACACATAAGTATATTATGCTTGGTAAATTTTTGAAGTCAAATGATGAGTATTTAATTTTTTATAAAATTCATAGATTGATCGGTATTCAGTTTAGTGTTAAAAGTAGAAATTGAAATTGAATTTTAGTCTTGGGCATAAATTAATTGTTTGGAGTGTTTGGATTAGTCTTGTTAAGTTGAAAGATGTTTCCATGAGACTATTTTGTATTTGACTACATTTATTATTGATTGATGTTGCGCGATTAGATTAGTTGGATTAATTAATTAGTAATGGCAAATTTAATTCTAGACTCATGACCGAAAGTTATCTTGTGATTTACTTTGTAAATTGGATTCATTTATTCATACTATACTGAATTGTTTGGTTCAAATTCAATTATATAAAAATTAAATGCTATATGAAATTATGGTGTTCGTAGTGTGTTACATTATTGTAACAACCCTCATACTGTTTACCGATTAATGACTGATTAATCGCTAATTACTGTTAACCGAGACTGATTTTGACTGATAATTGAACTGCCTAAGGTACTGAACTGACTGACTGAAAACTGGAATCGAATTGACTGAGTATGTGTGTGTTAAATTGTATTCTATCTGTTTGACTGTTTGATTATCTGTTCCTGTTTGTATGTTTAAATTGCAAATTGAAGGCCTTATCGGCGGCCGAATCCAAAATTGATTAGTGTGTCTTGATCAACATAATTTATGTAATTTTATGGTGAAGTTATCTGAAAACTGATTAGGTATGATTAAATTAGATTAATGGTACCAAATTTCATGAATTGGACTTATTACCAAATTGCCACCTGAGTGGCCCACTACTTGAGCCTTTTTGATCTCCTAATACACTCAACAAAACATTTCTTCTTCCACTTCCTGCACACAACCGACCTTAGAGAGAGAGAGGAGCTAGAAGAGTTGAGTTCAACTTGTTTCATTGTGAATTGCTAGAATTGTTTGAAGAATTGAAGGTTGATTGCATATTTGAGCTCCCTTCTTGAACTACAAGACTAAAGGTAGCTCCATTGTCTTCTTATTCATGTTTTGAGTTGATTCTTGCATGGTTCATGTCATATTGATGGAGTGTAGAGCCAAAACATGGTTTAGATGTTGAATCGTGGTTTAATTGTTGCATGTATGTACATATATTGAAGTTTAGAGGTTGTAGTCCATGTTTCCTCACATGCATGTCCATCTTTTGGTCATACTCCATGAGTTCATCTTGTTTTTGAAGGTTTGAGCTCTTTTGAAACAGCATTAAAGCTTTGAAAATGATTTAAGATCATGCATGTCATGTTTGAGGATTGTTCTTGAAAATTGGTTTGAAACTGGGTTTGAATTAAACACCCTTGGGCTTTGATTTCTCAAATTGAGTCGTTTGTTGTTATGCTTGTGAGAAGTGGTCAGTAAAATTTCTCTAGCCATATTTGCAGAGAATTTTTATAAACATATAAAATTTGGTCAAAACACAAAGAAAATTTGAAAACCCAAAAAAATTTCGGCTCTGTTTGGTGGAGCTCTGGAATGTAGAGCTCGATTTGAACATGGTGTTTGTTTATGATTTTCAAAAATTAATTCCATACTCACTTTGAAAACGCGGTCGAAAGTGGAAAAATTTGGACTAACCGGTTGTCCCACCGGGCGTCCTATCGGACGTCCCACTGGTCGACCGGCCAATTGATCGAAACAGTGCAATTTATTTATTTATTCTTTTTTTTTTGTGCAATTGACACATGCTAATTTTTATTTATTCAGTAAAAAATATTTTTCAAAATTTTAAAATTTTTTTATGAGCTTTAATGGAATTTTGAGTTGTGTGTTTAGTTATGAATTGTAAGTTTTTGTATCAAATATCATATGTCACATCAAAAATTCCCTACTCAATTCAAAACTATTTTCAAAACTCATTTACTAAACAAATTTTCCACACTTAAATCATAATTCCAAAACTCACAAACTCAAAATACAACTCTATTCTCAAATCATATTTACAAAACTCTACCAAACGCAACCTTCAATTCTCTTTGAACAAAGCTATAGAAATTTATGAACAAAGCGCGAGAAAATTAAATTTTCTCTGAATTTCTCTAGTTTAAACCTAGAGAAATTATCCTTTCAGTCAGTCACTCTCTCTCTCTCTCTCTCTCTCTCTCTCTCTCTCTCTCTCTCTCTCTCTCTCGCGAAAGTGATATCAAAGCCTATTGGCTCAATAGGAACCATTCAATATTGGATGGGTGGTTGTATGAAAGATCTCCCAGAATTTCTCTGGGAAGTCCAGAGAAATTCCCAGAGAAGTTATAAAAATGTTGGATGCCTTTTATGTTATAAAATCTTAATATTAGGAATCTTAAAAAAAATCCCCTAACTTTAACAAATTAATCAGCTTAGATACATATATATATATATATATATATATCAAACTTTTGTGCTGAGTTGATATATTAATGTTTGGGTCAGGATAAGACAAACAAGTTCGGGTTGCAACGAGTACTAGGGCGAGTGTAGACAACTCTCAGCACAACTCAGGGAGATGAACAATCTCACAAACTATCTGAACTTGCCCAAGTCAAACACCTAATTATATCTGGTTGGGGTTAAGAGTCGGTTGGTACCTTGCCTACCTTTTCTAATCTCCTCTCTTTGTTTTATTGATATCTCCTTTGGTTTAGCATCTATAAATATTAAAACAAATTTACTGACAATAAAAAGTAGGTAACTCCAATATGTAGTGGTTATTAACATTTTAATATCTACCAATGCCTTGTTTATTGGGGAGTTTCAACTACTACAATGTCACGCTTTTGAAATATCCACTTCTTGTGTTAGATTTTTTTCCCTTACAAAATGTAAGAAGGGAAATAAATAAAGGAAAGTTGTATCACACAATTGGTCAGACTCAATCTAAGCATCACACGTATTAGTTCGAATACTCAATTATTTACTCGTTGACAAATTATTTGAGTCTATTTTGAATTTGAACTATGTTTTTAGTAGACAGAACTAACATATAGAACTTGTGAATGTGAAGTTTGGCTGCACTTTGCTGTTTCTGTTTTCTTGAAGCTTGCTTTTGAGGACTCTGAAGAGGAGAAGAACGATCAACCAACTCATTTATGCTTTATATATATATATACTGTTGGTCATCTTCGATGTTTCTTAGGATGTCTCCTAGGTTTTATGCCTTTTTGGATATTCTAGTTAAATTGGAAGACCTTTTTTTTTTTTTTTTAAATGTATGGGATTCTTGGAAATATCTATTATTGTAGTTTGTGGATTTTTAGTGCCCTTTTTTTAATGTGAATTGACATTACATTCATTTACAAATGAGAAATTTTTGTAT